GCTCCAGGAACCCAGGAAGTCACAAACACACAAACACACCACAGGCAAACAAGCCCTTTTACAGCAGAAATTAACATTTTAACATCCTGGTACAAAAACGAAATAGATCTGATTAGTTACTGCCGTCACTGGCACACACACAGTACGGGTCGCTCTTTTAAACGGCTCTGTTTTGATTCTGAAAACAGTACCTGTTATCCATAGTTAGGTGCATAGCTGACATGATTGAGAGGTGGTCACAATGTAACAGATTGTCAAGGGGCTTAAAACCCGCCCCAGCTCCGACTCTAAGCCTGTTGTTAGGTTGACTGAAAGGTAGGTTGAGACAGCATATCCAAGTGTAAACATATCCAAGTGCTTTGAGTAGTCAGAAGACTAGAAAACCACTATACAAGCTCAAGTCCATTTACCATTTACATCACTTCCTCCTGTCACTCTCTGGCTGCTGGTGTGTTGATATAACAGCAAACTAATTCCATTTGAATCATTGATGGACAAGTGTGACGCAAGTTAAGAATTTAAAAAAAATGTAATCTAATCACACCTGAAAGATAAGGAAACTCAAGATAACTAAATAAAGACTTGTTGACTGTCTCAGTGCCCCTGCAACAACAACAAACACACACACACACACACACACACACACACACACACACACACACACACACACACACACACACACACACACACACAGAAAAGAGACATTTAAATCCAGTAGTCAGGCAGAAGGGTAGTCACATCGTTATTGTGACACATCTCGTTGTCTGACTAACATGTATGGAAATATAAAGTAGGAATTAAGGGGTCAAACCTCAGCAAGGTAAAGTAACTGTTTACATTCTAGTTTACATTCTTGTAAATAATGTGGAAACTCTGAGAGTAAACAAAAACATTAACCTGTTAGACAGGTGAATCAAATGCTTTCGTATGCAGTATAAAAACAACAGGTGACACAGACAGCTTCAGACTGTTGTGACGACTGATGTCTGGTGAGTCTGGAACCATTTTCCTGTAAACTTTTCTGCATGAATCTTCTTCCTGATATATCAAAATTAACTTCAGCTGATCAAGTGATAACAATGTGATTAACTGTTCTTCATTAGTGACAGACTGAGGATACGGTGTGTGTGTGTGTTCATTGATGGGATTTAATTGTTTTCAAGTGATCTGCAAACATTTTCAAATCATTTCTGTGAAACTGAAGTTAAATAAATGTTTTTTATTTTTAGTTTAAAAGAACCAGAGAGCCATGGGAAAAGTCTGAACATACTGACACTGAAGACGCATGAACCAGAGCCTACAGGTAAACTTTCACTTGGAATTTTGGACAAATTGGATTATAGAAATAGTATTATTGTTAAGGATTTTGTTTCATGTGAAGTCGTGTCTTTGTTACTTTATTTTCTGAGAAATTGTAGAAAAATGGGAACAAGGGAACCGTTTAAAAAATATCTCAAGAAAATGTGAAAAATAAACTCAGACTTTAAGAGGACAAAAATTGAATCATGCAATAAAGACATCAGACAGACTGTAAGGGTTAAAACAAAGAGATGCAAGACCTCGTTTAAATGTTTGTTTGGTTGAATAATGATGTTTGTGATTCCATTAAATACTTTTAGAGATAAAAATTTACTATCTTTCACTTCAGTGGGATCGTTTCTCACTGTAAAAGGGAGTCAATAGAAAGTACACAAAGATTATATTTCGATTGTCATACTTTTTCTCAGTGAAAGACTGAAATAATCTTAGACATGCTGATATGGTTTGTTTTAAACTTGTCACAGGCTTGGCTGCATAATAAAGTTACTTCAACATATCTAAAACAACTGTTTGATTGAGTTTGACTAGAAATATACTTTGCAGTAAAAACATAGTTCAGGTGATAATCAATGATGTTTTGTGATGTGTTGAATTCATTTTACTGGGGCTTTAAATATTGCATAGAAGAGCGTATGATGAGTCATTAGACACTTGAAATGTTTTACAGAAAGAGAAAATACAGTTATTTTTATGTAAAAAAAATACTGAACACAGGAAGGCTGGATTAAAACCAGGAACAGGAAATCATCCTCTGAGAGTGAAACATTTTGCAAATGGAGTTTGATTGCTTATTTGAGGGTAAATTCCAAAAAAGGGACATCAAATAAACAATATTCCCAAAAATAAAATAATGCAGATAATGCAGATTCAGGGCATATAGTGGGGCTGGGCAATTAATTGAAAATTAATCAAACCGACATTCAGAACCTCTCATCGATGTAATCTTGCCCATGTTGATTATTTTGATTATTTTCAGGGCAGGGTCACGTAACGACACATCCAATCCGTGACATGGAAGCAATGTCCGTCGTTTGTACACATTTTGTCTTTAGGGAAGATGACACTGAATAAAAAGAGTCAAATGTAAACACTGTGGAAAAACTGTTTTCAAGAAATGCAAGTTATTTATTTTCTACTGTTTGAGAGAAATTCATTTCTACTTCAAAACTAAAATGTTTTCATTTCAAAAGATTATTTTACTCAATAAATAATCATGAGATAGTTCATCAGATATATACAATGGAGGATTAGAGCCACGTTAAAAAAAAGAAAGAAATTAAATTTCGAGAATAAAGTCGGAAATTTACGAGAATTTTGTGCAGGCTGGTCTCGAACTCGTTAATTTACAAAATTATTCTCATAAATTTACGAGTTTAATTCTGAGCTCTGAGACTTATTTAAACTGGATGAAGAAGAGGAGAATATGTGACCTTTAAATGTTATGCTTCTTCCAATGCTAAAATGGGTCAAATGCTTGGAAAGAGTCCAAATTCTTGAGAACAAAAGGCTGTACATGGCAAGAATTTATACAGGAAGAGAATAGTTTTGGTTCCTGCTTCTGACTTTCAGACTTTCAGAAGCAGGAATATGGCGTTAACGCCTATCACCTTTCAGAGAGTCAAAAGTTTGAACCAAGCTTCAAAGTTGAATTACAAACACTTGCCCTTGGACAACATTTTTCTCAATCAAAAGACTTTATGTACAATCTCATGTTTCATATTACAAGTAAATATAACCTAAATATATCCAGTCAGTTGCGTACAGTGTTTGCTTGATTTGTTGAAATAGTTTGAAGCTGATCTGCAGTGAAGCTCCAGAACCCAATGTGTGGTTCTGTAAAACTAAACAGATGGTATTTGATGTTTCCTCCAGGTTTGAAAGCACAGGAAGGCTAATTGAAAAGTGCGGCCATGTCACCATGTCTTCACGTAACAAAGAAGAAGATCCAACAGGTACAATCCCTTTACAATACTTTTACATGTTCTATCATTCATTCAGCCTTTAGTTTTGTAATCCATGAACTCTCTATGAGCAATTCAAGCCACATACAACAAATTACCTCTAAGAATAAAAACATGTTAAAGATAAATTATGCATCTCAGTAAAAAGTGTTTAGGAAGGGGAAACTCAGTCATGGCATGAGCAGGCAAATTTCTAAATTGATCCAACTTGAAGTCACTGTGAAAAGAATTTAAAAAATAATATTTAAATAAAAGTTTGGTCACATAAAGTTATTGGAACATTAGAAGACTCTTGCAGCTGTAGCAGTGATGACAAAGACCAATCATTCTGAATTTGCTTTATAATAAAGCAAATACATTTGAATCATCCATGCAAAGCTAAAGCAGCAGATGCAAATGTTTTGAATTTGCATTAACAGCATCAGTCCTGATATGGCTCTAAAGCCTGGCTCAAACTGCAGGGGTTTTAAAATCCTTCCTGAATTCAGGTAGCATCACACACTATCATCACACAATCTCCAAACAAAAATGTTTGGAGATTGCATCCTGCCGCTGGTCGCCACTACTGTCCACTTCAGGTAGAAGTCGTGTTTGACTACAATGACCGCGAGAGACAAGGGAGGAACGTAGTTCCTCACACACAAATATGACTTGAGACTCGACTTTGACTTGCCCCTCCAAGACTCCAGACTGGACATGAAGTTTGGGACCCTTACCCAATCTTATTGTTGTGTAATTCTGGCACATTGTTCAATACATGCTGAGCGTCATTCCCTCCCTTCATACATAACGCTCCGTGCCTACGCTGAAGTCTGACGTCACTTTCCTGCGCCGTTCACTTTGCCATATTATCTGAATTATGATAACTTTTTAGCACGGCAAGTTTGAAAACGAAAAGCCAAAGACCTTTTCGTTTTCATTTGAATGATGTCATACAATATGCATACATAGAGAGCAAAAGTATAATGCAAACTGGATGACTGAATATTCATTTTAAATATAGGTCAAATAAAGCACCTATATTCTGAAAATTAAAACGTGTTTCTGTTACTGCATTTTCATTTTAAAATTTGCTTTTTCATTTGAATTATGATATAAATTTAGCGGGGCATTTTTTGAAAAAGCAAATATAATTTTCTTCATTTTAATTTAGTCAAAGAAAGTGCATTTTTGAAGTTGAAAACTAAAATTCAAATTAGATAAACTAGTCATCATTTTATTTTTGAGTCAAATAATCCACTCATATTCTGAAAATTAAAAAGCATTTCTGTTAATGGATTTTAATTTTCAAATTAGCTTTGTGATTTGAATTTTGATCACTAATCGCTTCCATAATATCCATGGCACATTTAGCTCTAATTAAGCATTGTATTCTTTCCACTGAGAGCCTGCACTGACATTTAGCTGCAAATACATTTTCTATCCATCTACGGTCACGTGAGCCCAAGCTGCAGGGGCCCCTGGTGGGGCCGTAAAAGCCCAGATTTGGTGGCCTCTGGCAAATTTAAATGCCACTTTTCCCTCAAACTACTCTTAATTGTTGGTTATGACTACATTTCTTGTTGCATATGAGTTTGCCTATCTGATTGTAAACATGTAGCCTAGTAATATGTCATGATGGGGGGGGGGGGTCTTTCGAAGTTCTGTGAAACTAAACAGATGGTATTTGATGTTGCCTCCAGGTTTGAAAGCACAGGAAGGTTAAAGGAAAGTGTGACCATGTCTTTTCCGAACAAAGAAGATCCAACAGGTACAATCTATTTACAATACTTCTACATGTTCATTATTCATTCAGCCTTTAGTTTTGTAATCCATAAACCATTCAAGCCCCATAAGGCATTTTACATCTAACAAAAACTATTTAAATGTAACAACACAACAATGCATCTCAGGTAAGAGGATAGTTATAGTAAGGGATTATAATCTTCAGTTCCAACTTTATAATAACCATCCAAATAATGTTGATAGACGCTTTATAAAATATTTACAAACCATGAACAAATATCTGGTCCATGTATCTCTGTAATGTTTATAGATGTTTTATAAACCATCTCTTAAAGGTTTATAAATCATTTGGTCATCATTAACAAACACTTTATAAATTGTATGAAATGTTATAATATGTGCATCAATAAACTGTTAACATAACATAATTAAAGCATTACAAATCATTAGCAAACATTATTAACTATCATTTCATTGTTTGTTAACAGTAAATAACTATTAACTCATGGTTAATTTACGATCTATTTACCCTTATTTACCCTTTATAGATGATGGTTATTATAAAGTGTTACCGAAATCTGAAAACCCAGCAGCAACAAGACATTGGATAAATGAACTGCTGTCCTATTGCACTCCTGAAAAAATATGATAAATTAATTTAAAAAAAAAAATGATTTAAGGAGAAAACCTGAAAAACTTTAATAAAATCTGGGGTCTGAACAAAGAGAAAATACAGAGCCATACTGGGAGAAGGGTGGGACATGGGAGGACAGGTGGGGGAATTTGTTTCATTTGTTTCGGGGGGAGGGGATTTGTGTGTTCTTTATATTTATATTAACAGAGGATTTGCTTGTAAAGTTTACGGTTTTCTAATAAACAAATCTTTAAAAATAACTAAGAATAAAGGGTTTGACACTCAAAATGTTTAGAGCAGTTTAAATGAGAATCAGAGATAGTTATTGTGACCTTTTGTAGTTTTTAAAAATGTTCGATACAAACATTTACATAACAGTCAGTTCTTTTTTATTTCAGTGCTTAAAGAAAATAAAATCAGGATTTTCCAAAAATCTATATCGACAGGTTAGCCCAGGTAAAAATTGGAATTGGACAAAGATATTGAATCAATGCATCTCTGGTTGGGACCCAGTGAAATTATACAGTACGGTTGTACATTTACAATTACTGTATATGACAGTTATAGACTTGACTTTGACTTGTAAAAGACTTGAGACTTGTATTAAGTGACTCGTGCCCATCTCTGGATATGACTTGCATAACTGCCAAAGTTACCCGTTTTTTTAGATAGATTTAAAAGCTATATTCAATAATCAATATCAAATAGAGACCTAATGTTGTAAACCTGTTCTCTTTCTCTTTGACAGTCCTTTTAAACTTTCTCTCACAACTTGGACTGGAGAGATTTTATCCCAACAAGCTCACTCTTCGGTCTCTCTTGGAGATCAACAGAAACAGTGTGTATGATGAAGATGTTTCATCAGTGGAGGATATACCATGGTGTTTTCTCAGGAAACTATTTAAAATCAATGCAGAATGCAGGAACTGTACACAATTGTCAAAAAAGTTGATGAGGAGGAGGAAAACACAGATGATGATGAGGAGGAAAACACTGATGACTTTGACCTTATACTGCAGAGGACTCTGCAGACAATAAGGTGAACCTTCTTGACCTCATAGTAGCACTCTTTCTTTGTGCTGACAGCTTCTTGCAACAAGAAATGGCCCTCAAAATGTCGATGTGCCAGTTTTCTGTCCCACTAGTTTTACCCCATAGCAACAATAGTCAGAGTACCTTGATGGTCTGGGCTCTGAGAGACATTGTCAAAGAGTGGCGTCCACATGAAATGTCAAGTTCAAAAGGGTTTGTTGAAGACAACATAGTCCAGACAGAACTACCGTTCTTCTCCTTTGTGAGACTTAAAAACTGCACTTTATCCAAGTCCCAGTGTTTGAATCATATTCTCAGCCTTGGCCAGTACAACACCAACAACATGTTCCTACACAGAGATATGAAAGGAGGAGACCATGAAAGGAAGATTTCAAATGGCTTGGTAGAGGTCTGCTGGTACCTTCCATGTGGCAGAGAAAATCTTGACACATTTCCAAAACCAATTGCTGTCGCCAATCTGAGAGGAGACATTGGTCGGTCAATTACACAATTCAGTTTTCTTTTTCAAGTGTCGACTGCTACCTTTGTATTCCTGGACAAAGTTGAAGAAAACGAGCACAAGATTCTGACATCTCTTCAAGATGTGAGATCTAAACTGTACTTGGTTGTGAACAAGGCTGAGAATGCCAGAGAGGACATGATGACTGTCAAGAACACAGTCAAAGAATTAGATTTACCAAAGAGCAGTGTGAAAATCAAAGACCCACATGTAAATATGGTCAGATTTTCGGAGAAACTTTGTGTAACCATCAAAAAATCCATGACAAATGAAAAAATGACGATAAAAATCGAAAACATGCTTGACAAGGCAGTTGAACTTGGTCTGTCTCAGGATGAAAGCACAAGTGAACACCAAAGAAGGTTGCTGAGGAGATTGCAAAAGGAATTGGTGTGCGACCTATACCAGAGTACAAGAACAAAACACTTCCTTTACAAGGAGTTAACTGGAAAAAGTTATCACAGTTGGAAATGGAAGAATGTAGGTTAAAAAATTGCAGTGAGCTTAGACTGGAAGAATATAAATCTGAACTGCAAAGACAAAAACAAGAGATCATCAAGAAGCTTGGCAAACAAAAACTAACCAAAGCTATGAATAGTTTCATTGAACAATCATCTGAACAGGACAAAGTGAAAAGAGATTTTTTCCTGAAGTGGATGAAGCTTAAACTGAATGCACATTTGCAGCCTGCAATGAAACTATCCTTACTTCGTCACAAATTGACAGACGAATGCAACAAAAAGGAGAAAGACGTAAAGGAGATTGCAGAACTGGATCAGGCTTTGCTGGAAAGCTCTTTGGGAATAAAGCATTACATGAGAGAGATGGGACTAATCTATGAGTTTTCCTCCCAGTCACGACACACTGATGATAAAATATCTCGACTCCCTGGTTTGGCTGCTGAAATGCTGTTGGATGGATATCCTTTAGAGCTTCTCGATGGAGATGCGTCTAACATCCCACAGAGGTGGGTGACGGATGTGCTAATGGAGCTTCACAACAAGGTTGGAGAGAAGAGCAGACTGTTGGTGCTGACTGTGTTGGGTGTTCAAAGTACAGGGAAGTCAACACTCCTCAACACCATGTTTGGTGTGCAGTTTCCTGTCAGCAGTGGCAGATGCACAAGAGGAGCATACATGCTCTTTCTCAGAGTAGGTGATGACATGCAAAGTGAGTTGAACTATGACTTTATAGTTCTCATTGACACAGAGGGTCTTAGGTCACCTTGTTTGGCACAACTAGAGGACAGTTGTGAGCATGACAACCAGCTGGCAACCTTTGTCATTGGTTTAAGTGATGTCACCATTATCAATGTTGCAATGGAGAACTCAACTGAAATGAAGGATTTTCTTCAAATTGCGACTCACGCATTCTTGAGGATGAAGGAAATTGGGAAAAAGCCAGTTTGTCATTTTGTGCACCAGAATGTGGGTGGAGTTTCTGCACATGCAAAGAACATGACAGAGCGAAAACACCTCTTGGACCAACTCAATGAAATGACCAAAATCGCAGCTGAAATGGAAAAACAACCTTCCATAAAGTTATTCACAGATGTGCTGGACTATGACTTGGAAAAGAATAACTGGAATATCCCAGGACTGTGGCATGGCACCCCACCAATGGCACCAGTGAACACAGGTTACAGTGAAGCTGTGGCAGAGTTCAAGAGAAATCTTCTGGAGACTGTAAAAAGAGACAAAAGTGATCATGTGTCACAGATCCCAGAGTTTCTGGAGTGGATCAGAAGTCTCTGGAGAGCTGTTAAGTTTGAGAACTTCATCTTCAGTTTCAGAAACACTCTTGTTGCTCATGCCTATGACAACCTTTGCAAAGAGTTCAATCAGTGGGAATGGGAGTTCAGAAAAGAGGTTTCCCGCTGGAAAACAGAAACTGAAATGGAAATCCTAAATGCTGAAAATGAGTCTGAGCTTCATCATTTGAACGAAATGGTCAAATCAAAAAAGTCAGAGGTCTCTGACAAAATAAAAGAACAACAAAAAATAATGGATCAGAAACTCCAGGAATACTTCAAGAGGAAAGACAGACAGGTGAATCTGATAATGAAATACAAAACTGACTTTATCATCAGGATCGAGGGTCTTACAAATGAAATCCAACATTCAGCCAACAATGATCTGGATTGTGCACGTGAATGTAAAAAAAGTTCAAAAGAGGCTGAAGACCTTCAGAGAAAACACAGAGAAGTGATTGAAGAGCAGGTTATGAAACTTTTGAGAGACTGCAAAAAACGCACACTGTCAGATGAGGAGCTGGAAGAAGAGTTTGAAAAAGTGTGGGCTGCTGTCACTGTAAACATATCTGGCCTAAAAGAACAAGATATATCTGCTAGAGTCCTTGACCAGTTGAGAAGACATTTTGTAAATCTTAATGTCAATGAGGAACTACAGAAGATTGGAGACCTGAAAGAATTCGGGAAAGATCCATTTAAGGCCAAAACTGATCACATAAAAAAGACAAAGACACAAATCATGAATTTCTTTTTTAATCAATATATAAAACGAGACTTACAGAGCCTGGCAGACAGTGTAATTGCATCTTGCAAACGATTTGTTGAAGATACTGCAAAGACAGACAGAGATTACCATGATTCTTTCACAAAGGATCTTCTGGATAAAGTCGATGAATCCCTCAAGCAAAACTGCAAGAAATGCAAGCCCAAGTTTGTCACTGACCTGAAACTTCACGTTTGTGGATTTGCTTCAAGAGAGTTCCTTCACATGCACAGAAAATACTTGGCCCATAGGGATCCAAAAATAAGATGGTTGAGAAAAAGAAACAGTACTTGACAGACTTCATTGATCTGTACAAAGAGAGAGATCACTGCCAACGCAAAGGAACTGATTATGTCAGATTTTGTATCAAACCTGCTGTTGAGGAGTACATCAGTAGATCTCTGGGAGTCAACATTGTGGAAGAAATTTTGACAAGTTGCCATTCACCAGAGTACAGTTCACGTTCCTTTTTCCAGTACAACATTCAAAAAGAGTTGCTGCAAAAGGATGACTTTGAGAGTTTTGTCAAGTACATTACAAGGTATAAAATATTTGTTAAGGATTGGATATTTCAGCATGTCCTGAAAAAAATGTCAGAGGGCCAGACTCTGTGCAAACTGAAGATTAAAAGTCTGCAGGTCATAGTCGACAAAATCACAAAAGCATTAAAGCAGTCCACAAAACACAGTGATGGCACTCTGCTGCCAGACAACCAGGAAAGTATCCCAGAGCTCATCAACAACATGCGAAAGTATTTAAATAAAGACATCTCAATTTCTGTGGAAGATGAAAAAACCATCCTGTTTCAGATCCAAAGCACATGCCATCAGTTTACAGGCAGCCTGTTTAAATCATTAGATGACTTAAAGAAAGAGCTGAAGGAGGAATTCTCAAACTCTGGTGACATCTCTGAAACTCTGAAAAAACTCCCAACCAAACCACAAGATGAGCTCTTTAAGCAAGTGTTTGGCTGTGGACAACAATGTCCTTTCTGTAAAGTTCCTTGTGAGGCTGGAGTCAAAGAACACAAGAAGCATCATGCAGCTGTGCATCGTCCTCAAGGTCTTGGTGGGTACATGAATATAGAAACGGAGGAGTTGGTTGAAAGACTGTGTACAACAAATGTCCACAGTGAAACAAAATTCAGAAACGCAGACACTGAATGGAAGCACCATCCTTTTCAAGACTATGCCACATATTATCCAGAGTGGCACATTCCTCCTGACCGCACCATCCAGGCATCTGACTACTGGAAGTATGTGCTGGTAAAACACAATGACAGATTTGCTGAAGAATACAAAGCCAAGCCTGCTGTCGTTCAAGAGTCCTGGAGAAGCATCACAAAGGAACAAGCACTGAAAGGTTTAAAAGAAGCCTTCAACATAAAGTGAACATCGCACAACTCTGACAAATATACTTAAACAAGAAACATTTACACATCTCCTGTTCTTTGTGTGCAAACAGAGGAAGAGGAGTGGCAGAATCATATGGCACTGAACACGTTAGGGCCTTCAGCAAAACAACTTGTTTCATATGTTTTCCTTACTAAGAGAAATGGAAGTCTTCAAAGAAAGACAGAAGCTCGGCTTCAAATAGTTGAAGTGTGAACACCTGATTTATATTTTTTATGTTTCTATGTTATGATTTAGTTCATCTGAAGTCTTTTTTGTGTTTTTAAATAGAACAATCATTTTGTTTTGCACATTTTCTTTCAGCACTCTTACTACAGTGCATGAATAAGGCGATGGCTCTGATGTAAGTTTCAAAGGACAAATCATGTCGTTTTTGTTGTTCTTTCAGTTACCTTTTGTGTTTAAGACTTTCTTTTCTTTTCAAAGATAATGTCAGAAGGTGTGTACAATGTGAGGTCAGTATGAGTGACAAGCTGACCATGACAGATGATGAACATGAAAACAGAGATCATGTTGTTGTTTTTATATTTTGGAAGAATTCTGAGTTGTTTTTTTATGTTCTTTATGTTCATGTTATTTTATTTTTTATGCCATTTTAACGAGTGTGCACAATAATGATGACGGCAATGATGATAATGTTCTTCAAGACCACGTACAACATGTGTTTTCTTTTGTTTGTTTTGATGAGAAATGAAACAGTTTGTTGTTGTGTGGCTCTTTGTATTATAACTGGTACACACAGTAAAGATGATGAAATGATGATTTACTATACGGAGACCATGTGGGGGAAAAAGAGATGATCTGCAGAGTTTGTGTCTGAATGGTTCATTCATTGAATCACATTTAGAGTTTTGATTGTCCTGATTAAATTATGTGTCACAAGAAAACTAAACGTGTTGGATACAGTCAGAAAATAAGAAATGTTGATGTCACTGACTTGAAGTGCTGACTAACATTGTTTGTTGTGTATTTCTGACATAAATCTTCTTCTTGTGTTTTTAGTTATATTTTGGCCTTGTTGTTTTAATGTTTTTGCTCAGTCATAGAGCTACAGTATAGTGATGTTGATGTAGTGGATGATGACGTTCTAGTACAATAACAGTTTGAAAACAGATGTTTAAAAAAATATAATCACAAGTTTGAATGTTTTTACTTTTCTATTTGTATTCATCATAGGGAAAAAGAAACTTGTTAATCTTTTGATGTGTTTTTGATTTAGTCAGTGAATATGTGATTTTAATCTTCCTGAATTTGATATTGATGTTTAAAAGTTGTCTGATGAGGCCGATAGCAGGAAAAGTGAGGCCAAATCTTGTTATTTCAGACAGACGATGAGTTCAGCAAGCTGGACGTGATATTTACATGTTCTTATTTCTGTTTTTGATGTTTTTGATGGAAAATGTTTTTTTCTCTTAATTCTATATGACAAGTGATAAAGATGATATACTGTATGTATAATAAATGTGAAAATGGGCCTGAAGCCACAAATGTTGAGTTAAATTGTGATTAAAGATTTCAGTAGAAATTAATTTTTTCTTCAGTCTTCTTTTGTTCAGGCTGTAAATAATAGCTGTCAACAATCACTCTTTCCAGCTGTTAGTCAGAACTATTAATAATCTGTGTGACTGAAATATGGGATAACACATGTCTGTAAACAGCAGTTATCTATTTTTGCAACACTACAGTCTCCAAACAGAGTAAATTTACACTGGATAAAATGTTTGCAGAGTGGGGTAATCTATTAGAGGGTTTACTTTTATGTTACAATACTACATCTCTCTCAAATAAAGTTGAGGTGACAGGAAATGAATTTCCACTGCTTACATCACTGAAGAACAATATTTAAAATGTCACAACATGCTCTCAGTTCTTAGAGGTCTGGTTCAGAAAAGTTGCCAATGAATGTTTGTTTGCAAGTTAAGACGGTGTGCAGGAGTTTACCTTTAAGTTTTTGATGGACACGTTGCTCTCCTACACACCTGTCTCATTAAATGGACGTGCAAAGGTTTTCCTGTTTTGAACTTCTCTACAATAAAAGTGTTGCAGTTGCAGTTCTGAAACATCCTCACAGTAACAAAGTAAAAACTGTCCATCTGAAGGGGCGCAGATAGCGTAGCGGTTATGTAGCATGCTACATGTATGGAGGCTATAGTCCTCATCATAGTGGCTGTGGGTTTGAATCTGACCTCTGCCCTTTGCTGCATGTCATCCCCCACTCTGTCCTCCCAACATTTCCCGTCTCTCTTCAGCTGTCCTATCTAAAAAATGCAAAAACTGTCCCTCTGAAGAACATTTGTACGGGCTGTTTGTGTGCAAAGCAAACTGATATTTAGAGACAATCATTCTAACTTCAAATCACAGAACAATAACATGAAAATTAGGAACATTAACTAAATACGTCATTATTTGAAGATGTTAGGAGCTAAAATGAAAATGCAACAGAGAAGTACAGAGTAAGAATTGTGGGATATGAAGTTTGGCTGGTGGATTTTCTCCCAGTTGATTAAAGGAGATAATTGTTTTTAGTTCTCTTAAGATGAAAACAATGATTTGATCAGATAATGTTCATTGGCTGAACCAAGTACTCGCTGGATCACATAGTCTGCTCTCATACACAACACATCACTGACAACTGAAAGAAAAAACCACAAGGGGGCGCTCTGATCACACTCTTTAAACATAAAGATGAACACACCTGTATGTCTGCTTATTAAGTTTTATTTGTTCACTCTGTGCTGAAGTCTATACATGGAAATGACTTGAATTCTGCATCTAGTCTTTCTTGCACTACATTTCTATATAAAATTGTTATGGTTGTAATGCGGTTGTATTCTTGTGTGTTGTTCTTTGTGTTACCAGTGTTTGTACGTATAGGCGTATTAGTGTGAGTGCGTTTGGGTGTGTGTGGGGGACAGTGAGGATCCCCAGTTTCAGGCCCTCTTATTTTTGGGGTCGCAAGCTGAAAGGTTTGGGAACCCCTGGTCTACCCAAATCATAAGAAATTACAAGATCATTAGGCCCTGTTCACACTTGACTTCCTTTTTAAACTGCCAGCACCTTTTTTACATACAAGCCTATGGAAAAAGAAAAAAGGATGACGCCTTTTTAAAGAAGCAGGCGCCTCTTCAAAAAGAGCTGCGTCCGACGCATTTTTCAGTTGAATTATTTCAACTTTTCAGAAAAGCGCTGGGTGACGTCAAGGACCTTTCTGACAGTGCTTTGATTGTGAGCCAAACAAATAAAAAATGATGCACAGTTATAATTAAATCAGCACAAATGTTACTGCTGAGACTGTGAAAGATAATGAATAAAGATGTTTCCTATAAGTGTAACAGCATCCAAACAGTGTGACAAGTGCTGCTGCCAATCGTCTCTCCTCAGTATTTAATGTGTGTTAGTGTGTGTGTGTTCGTGTGTGTCACACACACACACACACACACACACACACACACACACACACACACAAACAGCATGACTTACAGAGTGGAATGCAGCCGCTGTTTGCGTCAAGAGCCACTCCTCTTAGTTTCAATCGTTTACACACAGAGTGGGAGGAGCCCGGTTTCAGTATCACAGTGACATCACAGTTTAGAGGCAGTGGTGTTAGGAGTAGCCTACTTAAACATTTTCACAAAGGTAAAACAGAGCCGTATGAAAGAGGAAGAAAACATGTGGGTGTATATAACTATCATGAATGAAGATAAACAAGTGTATATGGGGAAGAGAGGGAAAAGGAAAGAAAAGACACCACCTGACACTTTGATGTAAAATCTAAAGAAAAATGTGGAAGAGTTTCATAAAGGACAGTTTCCTCTGAAGTGAAAGTGGAAGAGAGCCAAAATATTGTAGCAGGGTAAATGTTCTTGATTACCTTTCGGAGTGACGTCACTTTTCACGCAGTGCATCCAGAAAGGCCGCATTCCACAGCTTCACTCCTCCTCCTCTTCCTCCTCCTCCTCCATCAATGAAGTGTGTCTGCATGTGAGCCGACCATCAGCCTGAAAACACAGCAGTGAGAAAGAAGAACCGTCAGTGACACTGAGAGAAGCTTGAACTCACAGGTAAGTGCATCAAAATTCCTCCGTGAACATCCCTGCTGCCTGCCTGGACTGTTTCTAATAATTATGAGAGTGAGCGATACGTTCTTAAAGGGGGAAATGTTTCATCTGAGTTTTTATATTTCTAATATAAACAGCAGTTAACATTTTATGGGTCTATTTAATTTAAACCCTCTTTTAATGATAGTTCTTAACATCGTTACCTTTTTGTATTCAATTATGCACTGTACATGAAGGCATCAGCACACATTTACCTAACTGTTATAACACTTACCGGTAAATCAGCTTGAAAACATTTTAATTAAGTTAAAATCTCAAGTTAAATTTAAAAAACAAACAACAAAAATCTTGGCTGCCTCAGTGATTTCTTTTAGATACTGATCATATCGAGTACAGAAGATAGTCAAAATGCAACTCTTATAACTTGAAAAGGCTCTACTGTGTTGATAAAAGATTTTTTGAGTAAAACACAGAGCAGGTTGATATTTAAATTTTACGATTTGTCATTTGAGGAAACAATATTTCCTAATAAAGATTTACAAAATGTGGAAGGCTGTGATCAGTTTCATAACAGATAGATGTTCACATCAGAGGAGTGAAGTTTGTGATTTTCTGCATACAAAGATTTGTTTTTTGTCGTCGATAACTTGAACTTTCTTGTGATTATTTGAATGGTAGTGAGGATGATTTTGAACAGTGGAGGTTCGTAAACAGAGAGTGGAGGTATGTGTGGGTGGAGTCTGAGTCCTCCAGGAATGTCAGCGTGTTCTGCCACATTCCTGCTCTCAGCAAACCTGTGTCCTCTCTCCTGCAAACACACAGCGGCAGAGAGACAAAGTTCTTTTTCACACACGGTCAAAAACCTGGCTCCTCGTGTGAAATGAAGATTGGACATTTTAAACTTAGCTGCAGTATTAAACTGATGCGCAGAAGGTTTCTCTAATGTCTGAAACATCAAAGTTTCACCTCAGAGTTATGCAGAGCAGCGGAAAATTCTATTCTGCTGTCCTAAAGAAGAAATGCAGATGACTAAACGTAAAAACAGAAGAACACATTTACATAAAACACACTCATTGATTTTACTAACGCATTACTCTGAAAAAACAAATGCATACAAAAAGTTGAAAAAGGATACATCGTCCATAACTTCTGGTGACACTTCTATCCTATTTCTGTCTCTCTGTCCATCCAATATTTAAAACATTTTAATAACAAATTAAGATCCCTCCATCCCTTATCTATACCACTTCACATTCACACCTATGGGCAGTCCCAATTAACCTCACGTGGTTGGACTGTGGGAGGAAGCCTGAGTACCCAGAGAAAACCGACGCATTCATGGGGGGAACATGCAAACTCCAAACTAGTGTTGTAGTCAAGACCTCACTAACTGAGAGAAAAACATCCCGAGACCAGAGTGCTCCGAGACCAAGACAAGACCAAGACATTTAGGGATAAGACCTAGACAAGACCAAGAGCAAGGCAGAGCAAGACCCAGACAAGACCAGGACCATAAATATCAATGAAAAATCATCATCTGGCATCTATTGATAAACTTATTATATTACAACTCAGTAATTTGATCTTACTTTGTGTACTTTTTATACAAACGGCATCATTTTTTTAGGTTATTTCTATATTTCCTACTTTCATTTCTTAGTTTTAGCTGAAATGTCTGAGGATCTTGTTTTTTTTAAATATATTTTCATATTCAATCTTCTCTGTGATTGTAAACTGTAGGGTTTTTTGTGATTTTCATGATGGTTTTGATGTTTTGTATGAAGCACTTTGAGTTGCCCTGTTGCTGATGTGCTATAGAAATAAACTTGCCTTACCTTGCCCAAAGTTTATATCAATAGCTTAATTTATCCTATTAAAACTTTACCACGTTGTAGTCATCACAAAGACCATCAGTGGATTCATTTACTGTCAGCTGCGAAATTGACCGCGTTAAAGTGAAGCGGTCGTCTACTGTTTCCATGGAAACACGCTAGCTGCCGCCACCGTTAGCTTGAATGATAGTGACACAGCACAAACTGAAGCTTACACTTACAAAAAATATTTATAATAGTTGTTTACCTCTTTATTACCTCTTTTTTTCTCGTTGTTCTGGCTTATCCTGAATGTTCAGCAACCGAAACCTCCATTCTCCACCTCGTTAGCATCCTCGGAAATCTAAGATCATCGCACACCAACGAAAACATACTACGCAGTTTAATTTAACCGAATAAATTCGACATTTTAGTTACATCTAAACTCCTAAAACTATAAAAGAATGAGTTGTTGTTGTTTAACGGGCATTTAAACTTTAAGTAACACAAAAGCTCAGTCTTGTCAAACTTACCAAAACCAAACCGTCAACGGTTAACATTTACGTCACAGAGATGTCACAACGCTACCGTGACGTTTAACGTTTAACGTACCGTTTTTTTAACGGTTAACATAATAATAAACTAAATATTGAAAAAAAAAAAAACATAAGATCTGGGCTAATAAAATACATTCATGTCATTTCAAAGACATACAACTGAGGATTATGGCCACATAAAAAAAAAAATAATAATTGAATTTCGAGAATAAAGTTGTACATTTACGAGATTAAACGATTAAACTCGTAAATTTACAAGTTTCCTTACGAGGAAGGGAAAAGCATGCACGGTCTAACTCAGAGGTAAACTAGGTCACATGAACAGACTCCATGTATTTATCCGTGTCCTTGCAGGTCGCTGGCCGTTCTGCAGCTGAGCGATGGAGCTGAAGGTGTGGGTGGAGGGTGTAGCCCGAGTGGTGTGTGGCCTGTCTCTGAACACTTCCTGCCAGGATGTCGTCATAGCTCTTGCACAATCGATCGGTAAGTTCATTCAGAACTGGTTTGTTCACATTGTCCTGTTTAACTTTTTGCTTGGCTTGAAGGAATATTAACGTTCTCCTAACATAGTCTATACTTGTCATATCCAGCTAGATGAATAATTGACTCTTGTTGGTTTATGTTGCAATGTTACAATTCCCTTAGCAGACTTTTATAAAACTTTTAAAAGGTTTATAAAACTTTTATTTTCAGTGTTGCAGTGCTTTGAGTTCCATAAACACACTGTTAGAGCCGCTTTCAATCAACATAAAGGAACTCTAAATAAAGTGCATATGTGCAACACCATTAACATTTACAACATAACCACACAAGACCTTAAGTAACAAGAAAGAGTAAAAAGTGGTGTTGTAGTCAAGACCACACTAACCGAGACCAAGACATACCTGAGACCGAGTCAAGACCAAGATCATAAATATCACTGAAAAATCCTCACCTTGTGTGTAGAGGGCGTGTCACTCATTTAGACCGTAACAGGTTGCGGCCCAAACCGGGGAATAAAAATCAAACTACAAATTAATTGCAGTTATTTGTTCTTATTATTTTTATTTTGTTTTTTGTCTTGAATTTAAATCCAGAATCTGCCCAGGCCTCAAACCGAGTATGCTTCTGATTTCGAAACGAGACCGAGATCTTCACGAGACCGGTCTTGAGACCGAGACCGATTTTGAGTACTGCAACACTAGTAAAAAGCTTTTTGCATATAGCCTAACTATAAATTTAGCAACATGAAGCTACACAGATAAAAGGTTTATCAGCAGGACTCCCTTGTAAAAGAGATTTTGCAAATCAGGAAATATTCCAGGTAAAATCCTAAAAAGAGTGAGAACACATTGACCTGGTAAAATCAGTGAAAAGAAACATCAAAATCAGTGTGTAAAACAGTTACACACAGATTACAAATAATAAAAAAAATACAATTTCTTGCACAAATTAAGTTAAAGCCACCATCACTGAAGTCACTGAAGAAAAAGAGAGAAGAAAGCTCTTCCATTAAACCTGTTTAATTTGGATATTTTATATTATATTGCTTTTGACATTTTGAATTCCTCCTTGTATATTCCTAATTCGTATACAGGTTATTTGCCATTACAAACACTTCTTTTACAGCTCTTTACTTTTAACTCTACCTTTTAAGTTAATGTTTTTTGCACAAACCTCAAAAATTCTTTACTCTGCGAGTGTAGTAGCAGAACATACTGCATACTACGTCTGATATTAGTATGCAGCAGACGCTTTCAAAAAGACGGATACACGGATGCTGTTTTTCAAGTGCTTGCTGAAGAGCAGAGCAGACTGCAAAAACTGAGATTTAAAAGCAGTGATGTCGTGCTTGATCCAATCAGGAAGCAGCAATTTCAGGTGAACTGACCAATCAGGCGAAGCAGCTGCATCAGCACCTGATTCACAGACACACCCACCCACAGTCAGACACATTTTCACAGACACACACCCGCACACTGCAGGGGAGGAGACAGAACAACACATACCACAACAAACAGGATCGTGACACAAATATGAGCCACCAGTAGAGCACCAGTCACACAAAGAGTGGTTTACACAGTTATAAAAATCATTAAATTAATAGACTTAGGTTAAAGAAGAATTAGCCAGTGCATAGTTCTATCAAATTAATTGAAAATCAAGTTTAAAAATAAGAGTAGGAAGAGTGAAAAAAGGTTTTCAAGGTTTTATTTCTATTCCCTTTAAAACACTTTGCAACGCCTTTTGCCTTAAAGCTGCTTTACAAACTTTACATTCAGTCATTTTTCAGTTGTAATATCCATTCTCTTTTCAACATGGATCTTCTCTGTGTGTATTTTCTGCAGGTCAGACCGGTCGGTACGTTCTGATCCTGAAGTTGAGAGGAACAGAGCGACAGATGGTTGCAGATGACTGTCCTCTGCAGCAGCTGGCTCAGCTGGGGCAGCTGGCTGCAGAGGTCAGGTTCGTCCTGCGGAGGACCGGTCCCACCCTCAGTGATGGTCAAGACACACCCACCAGACAGAGCGGTCTGCCTCTGCCTGGATCAGCAGAACCAGATCCTGTCAGGAGCAGAGAGCCACACAAGGCTTTCACCTTTAATCTGGGTCCCTCAACAAGTCCCAGGAGGACTAAATCAAACAGGGCTTGGTCTCCGTCGCCCAGAGCCTCCCCGGAGCCAAGAGCTTCCCCAGTCTCTTTTCTAGACCCCATCAACCCTGTGCAGGCTCTGCACCCTTCCTCCAAAGACGATGTTTTCAGGCAGATTCTGCAGCAACAGAGGAGGCTGCAAGACCTGGAGATTGAGATTCAAGCTCTGGAGAGGGAGACAGACATGTGGGAGCAGGAGAGTTCATCTGCTGGTCTGAATCTGGTCTCTGATGGTGAACTGGAGGAGCTGGAGCAGAGGCTGAGCCTGAACCAGGAAGAGCTGATGCACAGAGAGCACTGGGAGAGACAGTTACAGAAAGAGATCGACAGAGAGCGAGGTACGTCTTCAAATGTGTTCACTACAGTGGCCAAGAATTTAAAAAAATGTGAATGAATGACTTTAGTGAAAACTTAAAGGTGACATATTCTCCTCCTCTTCAACCAGTTTAAATAAGTCTCAGAGCTCCTCAAAACATGTGTGTGAAGTTTCTTGTTCTAAATCCACTCTGATCCTGTATTTGCCCTCTATTTCAGCCCTGCTCAGAACAGGCTGTGTCTGTGTCTGTATCTTTAAATATGTAAATGAGCTGTGTCTGACCACGCCCCCTCTCTGGAAGGGCTTGGGTGTCTCAGTGCTTTCTCGCTCCATGTCCTATTGTTTACGGTGAGAAGGCAGACTCAGAGGGCAGAACAAACACCTAGCTGTGGGAGTGTCACCCACCAGGGGGAGGGGTTACTGCTCTTTGTGATGTCATGAAGGGAAAATCGCCAAACGGCCTGTTTGAGCACACATTTTCTGAAAAGTGGAGCAGGAAAAAGACGGAGAGGATGGACGTTTCTCGTCATTGGGGGGTTTGTAGACAGACTAGAGACACATGTTAGTGTTAGAGGAACATGAGGAAGTGGATTTGCATAATTTGTGACCTACATGGATCCAAACAAAAAAGAAAACTTTGGAACTAGTTCACCCCTCAGAGACGTATTCAAGATGAAATTTGTTCATTTACAGTAATAACCAAATGCCGCTTACTGTTTGAATACTTGTTGGTTTGAATGTTTTGATTGTGAAATGTCATTTTTTCCTCTGTGAAATGTTTTGACCTTCAGAGCCACCTTATTTGACATTTTCTTCATATTTGATGAACTACTTTTCCCTCTGACATCTCTAAAATATCTCTAAGAAATGTGAACACTTTAATCTGCAGACATGCACGGACGTCTGAATCAGATGCAGCTCTCGATGGAAGATCACAGTTTTCAGATCAGGGAGCTCTACGGCCGCTCTGCACACCTGGAACAGGACCTGACACTCAGATCCCACAGACAGAGCTCTCAGACTGGCCCCCGGCAGCCGGATGAGGCCCTAAGGCCCCTGAAGCAGCAGCTCCACCAACGTCTGCAGCAGGGAGATGAGCTGGACATAACATTGTCAGAAACACAGAAGAAGCTACGAGCTGCAGAGGATCAGCTACAGGTAGAACATTTAAGGCAGATAGTATTTGGCAAGGCTCGTTTACAACTTAACTTAACATGTTAGAGGTGAAGTCAGTCCACATAATCATCCCACAACTCCCAAAACAAAACTCAAAATCATACCATCCACTGGAGTAAAGGGAGAGAGTGGATCTTACCTCTCTTTGGACATCCCTCAGCTCCTGCCTTAACACTCCCTTCCTGTTTCACCAGGAAGTGTCTGTGAGATGGAGAGCGTCAGACAAGTCTGTTTCTTCTCTTTCAGTTGTTCTCTTGCACGCAGACTCCTATTATTCCCCTGGACACATCTTCTTTAAGTGGGAGGGGCCCACCATGTGGTAGAAGGGCTAACGTTTAGAGACAGGAGAGAGGGGTTCACATAAAAAATTAAGTGTTTGAGCCTTTGAGTGAAACATAAAAAGGAAGCTCTGCCCTGTCCATGTGAAAACAGAGCTCAGAACAACAAACCCAGGGGGCGTTTGACTTCACTCTCCTTTTAAGAAGTCTGAAATCACAATATGTTAACTGGGTATATTTGTTTAATTAATTAATATATTAGATAATATTTAGACAGATTCTTGGAGAAAATACGGTTTGTGACACTTGGAGGGCTAACATGTTCACATGTGTTGATTGTAAATGTCTTGAAGTCAACATTGGTGCTGATGGGATTTTTCCTGCATCCTGTAGGACAGATGGGAGATGATCGAGGAGCTGAATAAGGAGCTGAGACAGTGTAACCTGCAGCAGTTTATCCAGCAGACCGGCGGTCCATACGCTGACCAGACAAACTCTCTGCATGTCACCGAAGTTTACCTCAGAAACGCTGGGATAATGGAGTAACAGCTGAAAGTCACTGTACGTCATCAGAGAGTTCAAAGTGTTGATAAAAAGCTGTAGTGTTTTTACTTATTTGACTTGATGCACTTTTCTGTGCGGTGTCTGACAGTTTCAGCCTCTGGCTCAGTGTAGTTGAAGTACCTGTACCTGTTTTTCACTTGAGCTAATTCTCATGTTAACTTTTGTGAATGTGTTTTGGGACTTTTTGTACTTTTATTGTAATGATAGGACAGTGGATAGAGTCGGGAATCCTAGAGAGAGAGAGAGAGAGAGAGAGAGAGAGAGAGAGATAGTCTGTCGGGGAAAGCACAGGCTGGATTTGTCCCCGGCTGCTCTCTTCAAAGACTACCGCCTCTGTACAGGAGACGCCCAAACCAACCACTTGGCCACTGCCGCTCAGTGTAGCCGTTGAATCTTGATGCCTGCTGCAGATCTAATTTCCTTTGGAATTAAAAATGAAGTTGAAGCTAAGTCGAAGTTGAAGGACATCACAGACTGTGTGTGTGTGTGTGTGTGTGTGTGTGTGTGTGTGTGTGTGTGTGTGTGTGTGTGTGTGTGTGTGTGTGTGTGTGTGTGTGTGTGTGTGTGTGTGTGTGTGTGTGTGTGTACGATAAGCCAATCACTGCCTGATTCTGTCTGAAAATGAAACTGAAGTGTAACTTAAGGAGTGAAATGAAATGTTTGAGTCTTTGCTCATGTTTTTGTCCTACTGAACTTTGTAACATAATATATTTATTTTTTATCATTTTAATTAAACAATATATGTTTTATAAAAGTCTTAGTTTTTTTAATGAGTTTGGGTTGATTACCTTTTTCAATATAATCTCACATGACGCAGTGTACTGTTTGCTCCACTAGAGGGCGCCAAAGCTTCATGACTTAACAGCATTTTCTGCACAAACCAGTTCACCAAACCATCTAACCATCATACAAACACATTCACACAACCTTTTGTGAAAAAATCTGCATAAAATAATGCGACCTGGCACTTAGGATCAGAAGCATAAAAAATTTTATATATTGTTTTAAATTTGGACTGCAGTACCCATTACTTTATCCACTGCCTGATCTATTAAATGCAAAAGAAAATCATCTTCAGTCTGCTCCGAAACAAACTGCTACTGTGTGTAAAATTTCCTGTAGACTGTAATGTCTGAAGACGAGGTCAAAGAGACCAGCCTGTGTTTGAGAAGCAGCTTTGTCCACTAATAGCCGAGTGTTTGTTTTTGTGCTAAATCTGTTGAGTGTGTTGAGTGACAAAGTGATCTTCTATCTTTGTAGTTCTAAGATTATATCACCCTCACATGATTCAGGTCATCAGATGTAATCCAATCTGAACACTGACCACCTCTCGCTAAATATACAGCTGTCACTCATGGTGTTATCCTCCGTCTGGCCTGCAGGGGGCTGTCACTCAAGAAGATAATAAAACCTGAAACAGAAAGTTACCAGCAGTTACAATGAACAGTTACAAGTATTTAGCATGTTTTATGGAAGGACAAACCTCAACGTCATGCTTTGATTGTTTGTTTTTTTATCATATGATGCAGATTTTCTCTCCCACGCTGTGCACCGCGCTGCTCTAATCCACAGCAGGCTGATCTAATTGCCTGTAATCTAATCTCATGCAATGTTATCTCCTCTAATACAACCGAAAGTGATCTAACAAGTGTTTCAGTTTATCGGCCGACTGCAGTTTACCTTCTTCACTTTACCTTGTTCTTCGAGATAAAGTTACAGTCTCAGTACGTTAAGATAAAATACATTTATTTACACTGCGCCTTCAAAGTAGCTCATTTTATCTCATTAAAAGACCATTTAAAAACATTTTTTAAAACAAAAGAAGACACAGAACATCAGGGAAACATTCAGACAACTCATGACTCATATTCAGTAAATAAGGGTTTGTTAGCTTCGCTTTGAACACATCAACAGAACATGCCCGCTTAAAGGCAGGGTTGGTCATTTCCTCCAGATTAACTTTTTAAGATTTTGGTTGAAATTGTCTTAAAGTCCTGACAGAAATTAATAAATCATCTTTTTTTTATTTTGCAAGGTTTATTTTATGCCTTTGTTTTAATAAGACAGTGGATAGAGTGAGAAACTGAGGAGAGAGAGAGAGAGTGGGGAATGACATGCGGGAAAAGAGCCACAAGTTGGATTTGAACCTGGACTGCTCGGAGGACTACAACCTCTGAGGCTTGTGCACTAACCACTTGGCTACCCGCTGCAACCCACAAGCTAATGTAATCTGAACCATCTGCAGACCCCAAAACTCTTCTTTGGCAGACATGACAGTAAAACATTATTATTATACAATAATCTAACCTAGAAGAAACAAATGCATGAATAAAGACCTCAGCATCCTTAAACCACAGGACTGAGCTGATCTTGGAGACGTTTCTGTGGGGAAAAAAGGCGACTCTAGTCACCTCCTTGATATTCAGATCAAATGAAAAACATCTAGAAAAAGAATATGGGTGAAATGCTGGCTGAGGAGAAAGTACGGGCGCTTTATGTGCAATGCCGTGTAGCACGCTGTTAAAGTATGCAACGTCTGGTTGGTGACGCTCTCTCTCGTTGGCTATTGGGGGTTCTGTCAGAGGCAGCCAAAATCGAACATTTAGGATTTCAGATCATGGAGTTTCCAGCTGGACTTGGAGCAGTAAAATAATCATATGACACCACACACTTGAGGATTATTTGGACAAATAATCGGTTGTGACAAGCCTCCGATCGGGCCATGCACCCCCTGATCGTGGAAGGGGTGGGGTGGGGGGGAAAAGGACCTAAAATCGGGCCATAAATTGTGGAGTGTGTAGCCTGCCTAAAACACGCTGAAGAAAGGCGTCTGCTCTGATCGTCTTTATGGAAAGTTAAAGAGCGATTTGTAATGCTAGTTATCGTTACTCGTCTTAACCAGCTTAAAGGTCCTCAAAGCGGCTTAAGGTGACGATCAGTCTTTGATCAGATGACCCAAAATGCTTTACGTCTGGTAAACAAACACACAGACTCATCGCAGGGTAAAAGGGGACCTCACGTCCACAGAACACCTTGTCCCGCAGATACGTGCTGTTCTTTATGGTCCTGAGATTATCTCTGCAAATACTCCATCTCAGCTCCATTAAGGGCTTTGTGTATGAGCAGAGCCGCTATATAAACCCCGAGTGTGTGTGAGAGGAGACACACGGGACAGAGAGACTGCAAGAAGAAAGAGATCTCCTCTTGTTTTGCAGATCTTCCTTTGCTCGGACACTTCCAGACAACTTCTCTTCGCTCGAGCCAAACGCCCAACGAACTACCTCGCAGGTGAGACTCTGCACACAGACTTCATCCACACAGCAGCAGAGACTCAAGGTGTAGTCTGAAATCAGTTTTTAAATGTAGTATGGACAAACATTTAGAAACTCAAACGGCTTCTGAAATGTTTTTATATTTAGGATACTTTTGAATCATTATATTAAAGATTTATTTTTGGACTTTTTATGCCTTTATTGTAGAGACAGGACAGTGGATGGAGACTGAAATAGGAGAGAGAGAGAGAGAGAGAGAGAGAGAGAGAGAGTGAGGGATGACATGCGGGAAAGTAACCACGTCAAATTTGAACCCGGGGCGACCGACTCCTCAAAAACTCCTGATATTTGCAGGCGGAGCTGCATGTGATACAATGTTACAATGTTCACTTAGCAGACACTTAAAAGCGACACTAATCCATTCATACACCGCCACCGAAACAGCGGGAGCAATGCCGGATTAAGTGTCTTGCCCAAGGACACATCGGACATGTTGCTCAGCTGGGGAACACTCGAACCATCCGGTTGAGAGGCGACGGCTCTACCAACTGAGCCACAGCCGCCACCCAAAAAAGGCAAATATTCTCATTATAGCGACGTATAGAGGACTCTGCTGCTTCATCTGCTACTTCCGCGTAGTGGTCCTGATATTTTCAGGAGTGCATAATGTGAAAACAACGTAATTAAAATCTGTCATACAGACACCGGCCTGATGGGTAGGGCAACAAAAATGTTCTCCAACAGGACGCCCCTCATGGATGACGAGGTCCTTCACACAGGGTATGTTCTGCAGGGAGGTAGAACCCACTAAAAGGTATCTTAAGGCTCTTTCGGAGATGACAAAGCGTCGTTATTTGACAACAAGGATATGAGCGAGTTCCAGTTCTATAAAGCTTTTAAACAGAAAGGCACTGGACTCAAATGTGTCTCTGCGTTGGTACATTATTTGATAATATTCAATATCTAACCCTAACCCTAAATCTAACATGAATGATGCTGACTACTGTCTTTTTATGGCTGCAACATGGGTGACGAGCCCGAGACAAACTCCTCACCTCATAGGACAGATAAAGCTGATCTTGTTTTACAATATACAGATAATATGACTCATTTACAGAGGGCCATTTGCTTCAGGTACGGCAGTTTGACGACTCACTTTACAGACGGCTTAAAGTTTGAGCTTCGATATAATTATAACTAATTATGGGAGCCAAAGATATTAGGTAAAAGAGTGAGGTTTAAGGGATTAGAGGATTGACACTACAGCCTGAAATAGGATGACTGTGTGGATCATAATGTTTTTCCACTAATTGTATGAATCTTGTCGTTTTTTTATTAAATAGAAATGAACGCAGCAGCAGCAGCTCCCGGAGGCACCAAGGCCGCTCCTCCAAAGTTCAAGCAGAAGGAGGTCCGCCAGTTCAAGAGCAAGGCCCCCAAAGCCGGACAGAAGGGGTAACTCCTCCGCTGCTAAGAGTTTATACTTACTGTCAGATGTGAAGGAAACGTTCATCCTAACTTCTGTCTCTTTTGTTTTCTCAGATTCGACGATGTTCCCGGGATGGAAGGCCTTGGAGGTAATTATCAATCACAGCAGTAACTGATCAAACATGGCACAAAAAAAAAAGATTCCTTCAGGAGCTAAGAGTTTATTTTTAAGACAGTTTCTCTATGTTACTTTTCACTCTGCTCCTGTTCTTTGATTTGAAGTTTGAATGGTTTCAGTTTCTCCAAATGTGAGCTGAGCTTTCCCGTAGAAACGTCCTTAAAAGACATTTCTAATTTGACTGTGACCACACAGTTTCCTTCACATTATCTGTATTAAAAAGCAACAACCAGTCAATAAAGATTAGCTTCATCAACCTGTGTTTCCTCTCCTGCAGGCGCCGAGGTTATCTGCCCCTGGGAGGCGTTTGGCGACATGGAGCTGAGTGACCTGGCCCAGTTTGGCATCGTCTAGACCTCATGCCGAATGGAGAATTCATTCCTGGTGGCTGCAATCCAACTGCTTTTTTTTTTCTCTCCTGTTTTGCTCTCCTCGTGAGTTCAGCAGTGTGGAGATGGAGATGAGGGTTTCATTTCCCAGCTACGTACGAACCGAGGAAGAAGCTCTTGGACAGCAGCCCCCAAAGAATGACTCTTTTTCCTGGTCCGGTCCACGTCACTGTCTGGAAGTTTTGGCATCTCTGAGCCTCGTATCCCATCTTTGGTTACATCTTTAAGTGAGATCTCAGGATGTCTCTGTTGCGGTCTCCTCGTCCAGTGTAGTCCAGCACGTGTTTAAAAGTGTAACTCACTGTAGCGCTGCTCGGGTTTCACTAAAGGGACGACCGGCTAACAACAGAGATTCAACAAAACATCTGGTTAGAGTGGATAGATCGTCCAATCACAGCCAAATCACATAAGTGTTTGTAAATATTTAATGTTGAATTATCTATCTATCTATCTATCTATCTATCTATCGATCTCTCTGTCTATCTATCTATCTATCTATCTATCTATCTATCTATCTATCTATCTCTCTGTCTATCTATCTATCTATCTATCTATCTATCTATCTATCTGTCTATCTATCTATCTGTCTATCTATCTATCTATCTCTATAATCACATCATGTAGAGTTGTGAATTGTGTGGGTAAATCTGTAATGATAATAAAATTCATTTTAGTTAAATTATTCTGTTCTGTCTCTTCATTCTAATCATCGTTATCGTCTCTGTGATATTAAACCTGCAAAGTAAAACACTCACAGTTGATGCACTTTCACCCCTGATTCCTGTAGCTACATGGACGTTCACTCTGTGACGTCACCCATCGGCAGGACTTTAAAAATCTACTAGCCATGTCGGCTGGTGATCAAAAAAGTACATTTTAAAGTTACCGGACAACCAGATTTTCTACCAGCCAGACTTTTAGAATCAAAGGCAGGTTTGGTAATTTTCTAAAACTAGCATGATTTTGAAAGTAGCATTCCCTCAGTGCTACGTCTGCACACAGATGATGGATTTTCGTTGTTCCTTTTTCAGAGAACATGAGTTATTAATGTCTGTCAGGACCTAAAGACAACTTCAACCAAAATCTTAAAAAGTGGATCTGGAGAAAATGACCAACCCTGCCTTTCAAAGCCATAATTTTCTTCTTCATGGTCCCCTGTGTCTGCAGCAGCTTTCATTTTCTGCTCTTCTGAAAAGTTTTTCTTTAAAGTTCATTTTTACCCCCAATTGGCGGATGTTAATTTAAGGTCCTGCTCTCCAGCGTCTGAAGCGGCCCCACTGAGTTTTCCCCGTAGACATCACTCCTCTGTAAAATAAGAGGACCCATGGACTCTGGGGGTAGAGTCCATGGGTGGAGATACCAGGGGAGGGGAGGCGATTTTTTAACCAGAATCCCACTGTGATGTCACAAGGAGAGCAAATTTGAAACGGAGCATTTTTCTCTGTGTTGTAAGACTTATGCAGACCACAAACAAAGAAAAGGACTGGATGGGTTTATTTCACATTTTGTGGCTCAGTAGACACTCAGGTTACCCAAATATATTTTCAAAAACTGGATTTTTCATAATATGTTCCCTTTAAGGATAAACTGCAGTGTAACCCTAAACGCATCACCTGTACAGTATGTTGCTTTCTTAATCATAGGACCGTTATGGGGCTTTCACAAAATATATAAAAAGCAAAACTTCTAAAGATAATTAACAACAAATAAAAAATAATGAATCTTAGGGCGCACTAGGCAATCCGTACCTTGCCTAAACACGCTTCACCCCTACAGTCCAGTTCATTTGACTAAAGTGTGAGGCGGGCGCGGTGTAATGGTTTGTCAGGAGGTTTAAAACCCGCCTCAGCTCCAGCTCTCAGTCTGTCGATAGGTTGACTGAAAGTTAAGCTGAGACAGCATTTCCAGCATGGAGACCGCCATCGATGGGACTCCAGCGCCCCCTGCAGGAACAGACGGGTGACATCACTCAGGCTTCATCAGTCAATGGAGAACACACTACACCATGCAACAGCCCCCATGCTCAGGTGATAGCGTCTCTGTTAGTCATTAGCTCTCTATGTAATCCTGTCACTCATAGCGACTGTCTTAAAGGTGTGTGTATTTTGAGGCTGAAGTGTAAGCTTGTTGTCAGGTGAGTGCAGAGCTGTTTGTTGTCACAGTTATGACATTATGTAAGTTTATTACAGTAAGTTTATTTTTAGGACAGAAGGGGTGAGGCGGCTTATTTCATACTCTACATCATTTCCCATCATACACATCCACAAAGACGAAGAGATTTAAACCTCCTCAGACTCCAAAGTCAGAGATTAAAACCTCTTTCTCACGAGTCTCACATCTAGAGGCCAGAAAAACTTGAGCTTCTATCACAAACAAGGGAGTGTCCAGACTTTTTTGGACTGGGGTGGCCCAACTGGGGTACTGACTTGTGCAGGGGTGGCCTGAAGTTTGTGCACACACATGAACGAAGAGCATTATTTTACCCTTTCTGTCTGCACTAATCACATCGACTTTGAAGCAACACAAGATAATGATTAACATCCTATGACCATGGAAATCATTTGGTGGTATGGAATCAGTGTGTAAGCATGCCCTTTATCATGATACATCATCCTGCTCTCTTCTAAATCTTACATTTTCTCTGTTTTGTTTGAAGGTTTGATGACGTTCCAGGGATGGAGGGTCTCGGAGGTGAGTGTGAGATTTATATTTAGTCTGGATTTGTGATGCGTGGGCTTGTTGCAGTGACCGAGAGGAGTAGGCTCCCATGTGACAGCTGATTACTTTTCTTTAAAGGTCACATATTCTCCTCCTCTTGAACCAGTTTAAATAAGTCTCAGAGCTCCTCATAACATGTCTGTGAAGTGTCTTGTTCTAAATCCATTCTGATCCTGTATTTGATCATGCCTATAAACCCCTCTATTTCAGCCCTGCTCAGAACAGGCTGTTTCTGTGTCTGTACCTTTAAATGTAAATGATCTGTGTCTGACCACGCCCCCTCTCTAGAAGGGCTTGGGTGTCTCGGGCTTTCTCACTCCATGTCCTATTGTTTACGGTGAGAAGGCAGACTCAGAGGGCAGAACAAACACCTAGCTGTGGGAGTGTCACCCACCTGGGGGAGGGGTTACTGCCCTTTGTGATGTCATGAAGGGAAAATCTCCAAACAGCCTGTTTGAGCACACATTTTCTGAAAAGTGGAGCAGGTGAAAGATGGAGAGGATGGACATTTCTCATCATTGGAGGGTTTGAAGACAGACTAGGGACACACATTAGTGTTAGAGAAACATGGTGAAGTGGATTCTGAATAATATGTGACCTTTAAATCACAAGGCTTACTATAAATATATTAGGTAATATAATATAAATATAATGTTTCAGTTGCCCACACTAATCTTAATATAATTTCTTTGCAGAATTCCACTGTTTCCACTGAATTTTGTCTCTCTCTCTCTCTGCAGACTCTGCAGTGGTCTGTCCCTGGGAGGCGTTTGGGGACATGGAGCTGAGCAACCTGGCTCAGTTTGGCATCGTGTAGATCTGTTAAGTCACGCCCTGATCCCTGACCCTGCACACATTATTTCACAGTGTTTAAGGAGAATGTTTGAAAGGAGGGATTTCTAATTAATTGGGACAGATCTGAGCAGAATCAGGGCTAAAAAACAGAACAGAAATCAACATCCATACATCTATTTTCTTATTTATTTTATTTTTGCTACAAATACAAATGTGAAACCAAAAACTCTACCTCGATCTATCACTCTAACTGTCACAGAGATGGTACAATAATGCCAGTATTGAAATATGCGCTGGTTTGTTTGACATTTATTTTCTTCAGCACATTATTCTTTTTTTCCCCCCATGATTTCAGGATTTTGATCTTGTTTTCTACATCAGTCAGAAAGATGCAGTGCCTGGACCACTTCTCATTCTGACTTCTGATTGTCACAGACACATCAGTGCATGTCAGGTTGATGTAACAAGAAAATAAAAGACAGTGATGTTGAGGTTATGAAGACTGATTTCACCATTGCATTTTCCAAATGTTCACTTTTTCATGTTTCATGTTCATGTCTGTAATAAAAAAAGAGGAATCATTATTATAATCATGTTCGGTGTTTCTGTCTGATTTGCTCAATAACATAAGATACTAAGTCACTATTCACCATGAAGTTATTCCTGCTCTTTGAAAGGTGTGTATGAACATTGTCATTGTTGGAGTAAACGTTTGAAAACCTCCCGTATGTAACGAAGATATACGACCTGCTCTCTTTTCTGACCGCAGCTCATCTCTTCATTCAAAGTAAAAAAAAAATAAAGACAATGAGGAACTACACACAAAAAATTCAGTTCCTCCACTGTCCACAAGAGGATGTTTCCAATAGTGAGTCAGTCCCCATAGAGCCCCATGTTAAAATGTCCAACTTTACAGCTGCAGTTCCTCCAGTGTCCACTAGAGTCTGTCTCTTTCAGTGAGTCAGTCCCCATAGTGCCCCATGTTAAAATGTCCAACTTTACAGCTGCAGTTCCTCCAGTGTCCACTAGAGTCTGTCTCTTTCAGTGAGTCAGTCCCCATAGAGCCCCATGTTAAAATGTCCAACTTTACAGCAGCAGTTCCTCCAGTGTCCACTAGAGTCTGCCTCTTTCAGTGAGTCAGTTCTCAACAACTGATGCAATGCAAGTAAGTGCACTGGCGCCAGATAGTGGTTCGAAGCTTTCTTATGTATATCACACTATGTCTCATGCAGTCCTCCAAGCAAGCGCACATCTTGTCCTGTATTCATCAGCTGTTCACATCTATCCAGTATCACTACTCCACACATGATTGTAAGCCATATCACTGCTGTCTCTATAAAATATATAAATAGATTGAGTTACAGTTCTCATGAATCTCATGATGTCGCCCGCAGCCTGAAACAGCAACAAATAATTTAAAGCTTTAATAGAGAAACGTTTGCTCTATTGGATTCTATTCACCTGTGAGATACAAATAGCACACACACACACACACACACACACACACACACACCTGGACCAATCCCTGCCTTTGACAAGCATCTCATTATCATATTAGCACCTCATTAGCATATTAGTATAAGTAAAATATGGCATGTTGATTTGGGAAAAGTAGGAACGTATACATGTGTAAATAGGTACCAAGATAAAATAAAAGGAAGAATATTTCTTCTGTGGTTGTTTGGAGTCTTTGGATAATCTTCTTCTGTCTTCAGATAGTTTCCATGCTCCACAGAAGAATAGCTGAATGAGAGACTGAAATTCAAACAGTGTCAGAGTGTGATGAAATGTAGAGCCAGCTGCTTTAATTGAGTACTGATTCTGTGATTAAGTTGATACACGGTTGGCCCAGTAATTGGCCTTTAGTAACGACAGTGTTGCCAAGTTTTCAGAGTCGCCTTTGGCCTCACTCGGCTTGTCGGCTAAAGATCAAGTGATTAACGAGCTAATCAGATTGACCTATCAATAGCCTGCCATCCCTCTGCTTTGACAGAGAGGCTGAGCTGCACTGCAAAACTCGTTAGTTCAATTGGAGTGTGAGAGCAGACGCCTTGGTGACCCACACACGGTCAGAAAAGTGGAGCAAAAACATCACATCAGGATTTCTTTTTCTCTTTTTCTCTTTTGTATCGACGAACTCAAACCCGCCATGGGACAAGAGGAGAGCCACAACGAGGAGATGGATTTGGCTCAGATTCAGGAGCTGTGCATCCTCTTCATGAAGGAGTGTCCCAGCGGAGCCCTGCACCTGCACGAGTTCAAGAGGATCTTCAAGGTGCCGAGCAGCTCTGCAGAGGAGTCCCTCTACATGGAGACCATATTCCGCTCCTTCGATACCAATCAGGTAGGAGGGGAGACCGGGGACGGCTGCAACAAGTCTTATTCCTCCAATCAGAAACATGCCAGAGACACGACCGCCAAATTTAGTTATCAGAATGTTTTAAACTTCGATATTTTTCAATACCACGACACGATCTCCTTTATTTTGACAATCTATAGTATTAAAAAGTACCAACGCTTATTGAGGAATGAAAGAGATGAATTGTGAAAAGTCTTTTTTTTCTGTATCCTGCAATCATCGTAGATCAGTGTTGCACCCGACCCCAGGGCAGACGTCAGTTGCAAAATGGAACTTTTGCCCTCCAAAAAAGTTTAAAGATTCAGATTCAAGTTAATGTGAGGCCAAACTACATGATCTGCCTTCCTTTTTATGTTCTCTGCTGATTCCTGAAGCTGTCGGCAACTAAAAGAGCTTTTAGTGTTTTTCCTCAATCATGTTCTGAGCTGCCGAGTCTCCTTAAACGAGAACATTTAGTCGCCTTTGGAGGATATTAAAGGCAGGCTGGAGGATCATTTGACGACTGTATACTTCTGATTGATGTCATTTTTGTTCATCGTCCCTCTTTTGTTCTCATGTGTGAAACGTTGATGCTGCTGTCTCGGCCAGGACTCTCTTTAAAAAGAGATCATGTAACTCAATTTTCCTGGTAAAATACAAAACAAATTATAGCCGACAAATAAGGCAATTTGAGAATTCAACAAGTCGCATCAAGATAGGAATCAACCCGGGGCGCTGGTGGTGCAGTGGTTAGTGAGCGCCCCATGTATGGAAGCTGTAGTCTTCCAAGCGAGTGGCCCAGGTTCAAATCCGACCTGTGGCTCCTTTCCCTACTCTCTCTCCCTCCCTGATTTCCAACTCTATCCACTGTCCTATCTCTCAAATAAAGGCCCAAAAAGACCAAAAATAAATCCTAAAAAAATTTAAAAAGTCAGAAAACAATCCAAAATAAATACACGCTTCTATGAGATTGTCTAAACAAGGGAGGGATCATTTTCAGGCAGATTTGACTTCAATATGTTTCAGTGTCTTTGATCCAGTTTGAGTAACTGAGAGAGGAACAACATGCTTGTAACCGTCCCCAGTCTCCCCTTAAAGAAGTTCTCCTAACAGAATTTTACAAATAGCAACTCTGTGTCATTTATTCTCAGGACAACGCTCTTGATTTCATCGAGTATGTCGCCGCTCTTCACTTGATTTTACGGGGGAATCTTGAGGATCGACTGAAATGGTCGTTTAAGATGTACGACAAGGACGGCAACGGCAGGCTGGACAGGAAGGAGGTGAAAAGCATCATTAGGGTGAGAAACGCCTTTACAGATATCAGCTGTTTGTTCTGAAAAGTGCTTTGAATGTAAAAATGTGAATTGTAAATGATCAATCAGGGCGGGATATATTTATCTCAGCGTGTCAATAATAGTTTCGTAACCCAGAAATCCTCTCCAAACAGATTATATCAGTGACCCAGTCCCAAGGCTCAGAGCTCATGTTCCCTCTCGGAGCATTAGTGAGGAGTGGATGCTCTGTGTGGGGGCTTTTCTTAAAATAAACACTTCACTTCACAGTAAGCTTCTACATGCACAGATGTAAAATTAGCCCGCTGCCCACCTGGTCTGATCTGGCTCGGGGCGATTTAGGTAACATTTCTCACAGTTATCTAAGGGCAGGATTATGTAGTCCTTTTAACAGGGATTATAATGAACTGTATTGATATATAAAGTTTACACATTATAGACCAAATTAAAGTCAAAACAAGCGCAAAATGAAACATCAGCACTAGAGATTATCTGAAAGGCGGTTATAGAAAATAAGGTTTTTAAGGTTTTATAAGTGAGTTTTATGACCGAGACTGAGACATACGCAAGACCAGAGTGCTCCGAGACCGAGTCAAGACAAGATAAATATCTCTGAAAAATCATCTTGCGTACAGGAGGCATGTCACTCACTAAGACCGTAACACCGGGAAGGTTGTGGACCTAACCGGGGGAATAAAAATCATCCTCGATGCTCCTCTCTCTCTTGTGGAAGAGGAGAAAACATAAAACGTAGAACAGGATTCAGTAGAGGTTCAGAGCGCTGGAGTTTAGCGCCCAAAACCAGAAACACGTCCCCAATCAAAAACTTCTAGACATGTAGATTTTTAAGTCTACATTTTTGTTATAGCATTTGATGACAGACATCTTTTCTTTTATCTCACACAGATTATCAGCAAACTCAATCTCCTGAGTAATGACGTCAACATGTCGCCGTCTGAGATCTGTGACCGCATCTTCGATCAGGTCGACCAGAATAAAGACGGTGAGTGAGGTTTTGTCTTCACTCGATTTTGTCAAGCACAGAGTTATGCATTTTGAATAATTAGGGGCGTGGCTGATGTGTTGTAGCTGTTTGCCAGGAGGATTAAGGATTAAAAAAGTTCTCTCTCTGTATGGTTCTTTTCTGTAATGTTGTCAGACGCTCAGAATAACAATCTGAGCCTGTCAAGGACAAAAACAACAACTTTTAGTGGATGTAACTTTGATCAGGCACAATTTCCCCCAACAAAACATTCTACTGGATGTTTTTTGCACCTGCTAGTTTGCCCCAACAACATGTAACTGCTGCCCTTGTTTAATCCCAATACCAGAATTAGGCTTCAAGAGACAACAAGGGGGGGGCTCCTAGAATAGAATTTAAAATCCTTCTTCTCGCTTACAAAGCTCTTAATGGTCAGACACCATCTTATCTTAAAGAGCTAATAGTGCCGTATTACCCTTCGAGAACATTACACTCCCAGAATGAAGGCCTGCTCTTGGTACCTATGTTCTCCCCGTGAGGTGTTTAGGTTCTCTCCTGGGATATCCGGCTTCCTCCCACAGTCCAAAGACATGGTCGTTAGGTTAGCTGGTGACTCTGGTGCGGCAGTAGCTCAGTCTGTATAGGGACTTAGGTTGGGAATTGGAGGGTTGCAGATTCATGTCCCGGCACGGACCAAGTCTGGAAATTGGTCTGGTAGCTGGAGAGGTCCAGTCTACTTTCTGAGCACTGCCGAGGTGCCCTGGAGCAACGCACCAAACCCCAAAACTGCTTGAGCGCTTGCTGTGGGCAGCCCCCCCTCGCTCTGAGACCTCTCCATTACTGCATGTCCATAGGATCCTGTTTGTGCATGTGTGTGTATTTCGGCCTGTGTTTGTGTAGCATGTTCATTAGACAGAGTGTAAAACTGAATTTCCCCTCGTGGAATTAATAAAGGATACATTATTATTATAAAGTGTCCGTAGGTATGAATGTGAGTTTGGCTGGTTATCTGTCTCTATATGTCAGCTCTGTGATTGGCTGGTTTAACCCAGCCTCTCATCCAATGACAGCTGGGATTGGCTCCAGCCCCCTGTGACCCAGAACGGGAAAAGCGTTATAGGTAATGGATGGATGTATGGATGGATATGGGGTTATTGTGCCCCCTGGTGGCTGAGGACCTTATGTAGGACGTTCACTCCTAAGCTAAAATTGACCTCTTACATACACAGTAAAGTTTGTGGTAGAGTATCTGTGAGTATCTAAACATTTACACCTTTTTGCTTTAATTCTTTGACATTTTGTTATGATGTCATGAACTTTGTGTTCTCTTTTCTCCTCTTCAGGTCAGATCAGTCTGTCCGAGTTCATCGAGGGAGCGCAGCAGGACGAGTGGGTCATGCAGATGCTAAAGTTGGATGTGAACGCATCGAGTTGGGTCATCCAGAACTGTGGGAAGTTAACATGATGTGTTCAGCTGAGTGGGATCAGAGTCCACAGGTCTTTGTTTAAAGCTGACAGAGGGGGTCTGCTGCTTTTCTTCTTTTGTCCCTCTGCTGCTGAGCTTCAGGTGACTTTGAGCTGGAGCTCGGGGCTCTTTAGCACGACTGCGGCTCTGCTGTGATTTTGACAGCAGCTGCGATGGTCTCAGTCCTGCTGTTTGTCTGTGGAGAAGCTAACGCCTCGATGTAACAAAAACCCATCACTCACAGAGGACGTGTTGAAGTTCTCGTTACACGACAGAGGACTCTCTTTTGACTTGTACATTAATTATTGTGTGTTTCTTTTAGTTTAGGGGTGGCTGTTGTAAGAATAACTAAGAAAACACTCTGGTCATTAACAAAACTGTGAGAAATAATTTTTGTTTTTTTGTTTGGTAAATTCAAATAGGCTTTTATTTTGAAACGTGTTCTGAACATTATATGGGAAATCTATATCTAAACATTTTAAAGAATATATTGAAGTATCCCCTGGAGAGTTTTTGCATGAAGTAGTTTTTCAATGCATTTATTTTTAATGAGAGAATTAACGTTGTTTGACGATATTTCTGCAGAATTGTCCTCTCAGTTTCTTTATGCAATCAGTAACCAGACAATGGAAGAATATATTCAGTGTCATTTATTTATTCCTTTATTTTTTATACAGGTCTGAAACTGTAAAAGAACTCGTGCTGTTTCTGTTTCAAATGTGAACTTATTTTTGTGAATAAAACATTTTTGTCATACACACTTTATGCTGTGATTTCTTGAATGACTCTTGAACTCCATGTATTTCATGATCCTGCCACTAGAGGTCCCCAAAGTCAGAAATGTTTAAATCTTCCACAAAGGTCAAATTAATCCTCAGAGGTTTAGTTTGTGGCTGCACGGTGGTTTAGTGGTTAACACCCTGGTTTGAATCCCCGTCTGACTCTCTGTGTGGAGTCTGCATTTTCTCCCTGTGCATGTGTGGGTTCTCTCCGGGTACTCCGGCTTCCTCCCACAGTCCAAAGACATGCTCGTTAGGTTACCTGCTGACTTTAAATTGTCTGTAGGTGTGAATGTGAGTGTGTCTGGTTGTCTGTCTCTATATGTCAGCTCTGTGATTGGCTGGTGACCAGTCCAGGGTGTAACCCCGCCTCTCGCCCGATGACAGCTGGGGTCACCTCCAGCCCCACATGACCCCACATGGATAATGGATGAATGGAGGTTATTTATATATTTTCTGCACATCAGTTTTTCTGCATGAGTTGAGGTGTTAAAGATGACAAAGTTCATGACGCATAAAGTGATCCAAGTTCGACTTTACCACTTCTCGAAAATATCTACCTCTGCACACTAAGTAAAGCAGGTCATGTGTGCCTAGACAAGATTAAATAAGCAAGTAAAGTACCTGAGAGTTAAAGTATTTATAATTACTCTAAGTTCCTCATTTTTACTTTTGCCAGTCGTGAAAACAGATTAAAAATAAATAAATGGGGCAGATGACCCCAATAATGAATTGTTTTGTTTTTTGAGTGAAGAAACATGTTTTTCCACCCAGTTATATCTACAGACCTTTAAATAAATTATCCAGTAAGTGTGTTATAAGTTTGTCCAGTTAATATGTTCAAATGTTGATAACTTCAGAGCAGAGAGAGCCTCATGCCTGTCTTGGGTGCTGGACTCCAGCGCTCCGGGCCTCCATTGACCCTCGTTACAAGTTGCACATCTGCTCCTCTTCCATACAAGAGAGAGGAGGAGCTTCAAGGAGCGCAGGAGAAATACATCCCTGAATGCATTACACATCACCACCCATAAGGAGGCAGCAGAGTGACATGTCCCCTGAACTGAGAGATAAAGAGTTTGTCTCCACAGATTGTCGCCCCATGTATGGAGGCTGTAGTCGTCCAAGCAGGCGGCCCAGGTTCGAATCCGACCTGTGGCTCCTTTCCCACATGTCATTCCCCACTCTCTCTTTCTCTCCTTGGTTTCAGACTCTATCCACTGTTCTATCTCTCCAATAAAGACCCAAAATGCCCAAAAATAATCTTCAAAAAAATAAAAAATAAAAAATAAATAAACTAGGTCTTTTCATTAAAATGCTAATTATGTTAGCCAGGTAGTGACATTTTCTGTATGTGTTAGCATCGAGCTAATAACCTAAGCTATACAACCGAGTCCATCTGTGAGAAATTGTGGCCCCCCCCCTAAAAACAATAAACCAGCCATCACTGGTGGAGACTGTCACCTGTTGCTTCTCAGTCAGGAATTATGTTGATCAGTTGATCTTTATTTTATCATGTAGTTCTTCGTTTTTCTCATAGTTTGGATTTTGGTAAGGTGTTTTATGTGCTTTAGTGGGTCAAGTCAACATGTGGACAGTCAGCCTTCTGGTGAGGCGTAACACGTTCAATTCAGCCACCTGAAATCAGTCCAATCTTTGGTCATAACACCAGAAGGTTGAGTCTGTTATTCACGTTTATTTTACACAATCAGCAATAATCACATTACTGGCAGGTGAGGCTGGGTGAAGTGTGCACAGACCGACCTCAAGCGGATCCAAAGTTTCACCGCGATCGCGCCCAGGATTTGACGTCACAATATCTTTTAATCTTCCTGCGAGCTCAGAAGGTGGCCTTTTGTCTCTACGTGGGGGGCAATCCACTCACTCTGTCCAGCAACCAGAAGGAACTGTTGCTTAACAAGCAAACACTTTAAAGCTCAGCGGGGAGTTAATCTGGAATAATGTGCAGTCGCTGAGAGTGAGAGCGGAGGACGCACAAATATTGAAGAAAAAAAGTGGAATTCTTGAGAGGGATTTGATCAGGATCACTGGAAAATCTACTGGATTTGTTAGCTTAAAATAGCCCACACTGGGTAGTCTGACGGGGGGCTTAAGCCATGGATTCATGGCTGGTGCACAGAGATGGATGTTCCTAACAACTTCTATGTAAGGTGTTTTCATTATATCAGACACTTTTATTTATGAAACTATGGGTCAGGGACAGAGCGGCACAGAGAAAGAGGTGACTCTTCAGAACATCCAGGAGCTCTACCGCAAGTTTGCCAGCGAATGCCCGAGTGGAAACCTGCACCTGCATGAATTCAAGAAGATCTTTGGAGTCAACAGCAGATCCTCTGAAGAAGAATCTGCTTACATGGACAATCTGTTCCGATCATTTGATACCAATAAGGTAAGGTGTTATAGAGGGTTTGGATAAGTGAACCCCTCAGTTTTTGTTTGAAGGCAGTGAGCCTGATGTATCTGTGTGTGTGCTCCTCAGGACGGTCACATCGACTTCCTGGAGTATGTAACAGCGGTGCATCTTGTTCTTCGAGGGAAACTGGAGGACAAGCTGAAGTGGTCTTTTAAAGTTTACGACAGAGATGGAAACGGCTGCCTGGACAGACAAGAAGTACGACACATAATCAAAGTAAGTATTCAGTTAATTATCCATAACGAGACACAGGATTTCAATCTGTTCATTGGGATGTTTCTGTAGTTCACTCTGGACTACACATGTATACTTCACATTTGATTGGCTTTTGGTGTGGTGCACAGTGCTGACATGTTCTCAAATAAATTCTACACTAGCCTTGAATGTAAGTAAGTTGATTGGATATTTAAACATGGCGGGTTATTACACAGGAAGTGACGATTCTTTCAACCAATAAACAGACTGCAGTGTTTCTAGTCCCACCTTTTAGGGTCGGATTGGTATGCTTTGGCACCGCAACAGAAAGGTAGCAAAAAGTAGGCAATATGGACCGGTACTTTTGGGACCTTCACCCAACTTTTGACAGAAACGCCACCAAATGCGTGCCATACCATGACGAGTCGAACTGAACTGCTTGGTGGAAACGGGGCTTATGTAACCCGTCAGTTCTGAAAGATGCTTTGACACCAGGATTCACGCATGGAAAGCTAGCTTTTATGACTTACAAAAGTTTTGTGGATTTTTCTGTTGGTAATGAAAGATCTCAAGTCAAAGTCTTTTGTCTTTGTGTATTTTATTGCATATAGTAAAAAGTTATTTTGCAAAAGGGGCAATCAGCTACAAAAGTAACATCAGTCACAAGTGCATCAAAGATTCCCAGGGCAGTCCAGGTTGCAGAGCATATTTATACTTTCACAGGTTTAGGTATTTTGAGTGATACATCATCATTGATTTCAGCTTGCCCTAGTGACTACGCCTTCTGCTAGTTTGCCTGGTGATTTATCTATGCAAGCTTCTATAAGGCACCTGGTACGGAGGAACATCAACAGAAACTCCTTTGTCAGGAGGGCACTGATCTAAGATCATGCTGTACCCAGATCCTGAGGAGCGTACCTGTTGGAGATACAGACCAAGGCCATACAGAGAAACAGTTTCTAATTGCTAAATGACGCACGATCATCCTAATCTTTTAAGGTCAAATGAAGGCAACAGACAGATAGTATTTTTCCATGACAAAAGCAACAGGCGCAACCCAGAGGTTGATTCACACATGTACAGACAAATCAGCTCCTGCTTTCATTTTGCCTCTCAACTCAACAGGGTTCATGTGGAGACAAGCCATACTACGAGTCTGTGTGAGGTTGATGTGTAGTTTGTAATCAACGACGAGCGCCGTGTGTGATTGTGCACTTTTGGCTAACTTATTTCCAAAACACGGTTAACCAAGAAGCACAGACCCAAACAATGTGAACGCAAACAGCTCTTTGTGTACCCTGACTTTCCGGCAAGACTCAAGTGAAAGAAAATAGTAAATCTCGCGACCACTTGGCGCCAAATCAACACGATCTGACAGTTCCTCTCAGGAATACATACCATGTCACCTTACCTTAGTCGTTTTCACATACACACTCCTGAAAATATCTAGATTATTTCAGATGGACTGCTCCGGATATTCTCCTGATCTGGTTGTTCACACATGCACCTCAAAGCTGGAGACTATCCCTGTAAGAGAGGAGCGGGTCTCCTGAGGTAAGATGTGGAGTAAAAAAAAGATGCAAAAGTAACAGACGAAGCAACAGAGTCCTCTATACGACACTATAATGAGAATATGTGTCTTTATATCAATGCTACGTGTAGTTGAACAGAATCTCAATGTGAAGTAAAGAGTGGAGGAGACCATACTGGAGAACAGGAAACATAATGCAGCAGGTTCATTAGAGCACGGAGATGGTAGAGGTGGCGTGCAGACAGTCTATTTTGTTTTGTCTCAGTGATTTATGAGCTTACTTCCATTTTGTCCACTGTAATCCAGCATGAATCCTGCTCTCTGCTGGGATCAGGATGATCCGGAGTTTTTGGATCCAGGTAATCCTGATCCTTATCCAAAATTCTGAACAACACAAACTGGAGGTTTCATCTGGATTAAAACCAGGATCAGATGAACTGATCCTCTCTCTAATGACATAATCCTTATTTACTTTTGAGCAACTTGATCCCCGAGGTTGAAACCTTTCCAATAGCTTTAATCCTGTTGGGTTACTTTTGAACAACTGGGGCCAGGTGATCAGGCCAAAGGTGAGGACAGACTCCAGCTTGGAGTCACCAGTTTACTGCGCACACTAAACCAGTTTAGTTAGCTGGGAAAGTCAAGACGTTGCTGAGATGTTATAAGACTGACCCAGGTACTTCAACTAGTTCAACAGTCCGTCTCTTAGTATCAGTTTGGATTGGTGTTGACTTCCATCTTAAATCTATGCACATGTCTTTGGTTTCTTACACCGCTTGATGAAATCATCAATCATCTATATGCAGACGACACAGTTCTATATCATGCTCATGATTCTGTATATCTTACAGCCAAGAATTTGCACTAATGGTCTTCAGCCTGCCCAAAACAGCACACATCACACCACAGGCTCCCAGTTACTGCTCGAATCAAATTTAAAACTCTGCTGCTCGCTTACAAAACGGCTCCTCCTTACCTGAACCCTGTCAGCACCTCTGGTCACTTCCTGTCAGCACCTCTGGTCACTTCCTGTCAGCACCTGTGTGTCCGATCAGACTTAAAGCTGTTTGTTCTTACTTCCTGACGTTGTTTCCTCCTCTCTACATCCTTGCTTGTGTTGGTCTTACTCTCTGATGTATGTCTCCTCAGATCATCCACAAGATAAAGAAACACAACAACCCGAGCGTCACGGACACAAATGTTGAAGATGTTTGTGACAGAATATTTGAACTGGTGGACAAGAACAGAGACAGTAAGAGCTGTGTTGATTTTAATACAGCATGCCTACATGTTCTTGCTTCCCTATCACTGTATTTGTTCTGATTTTGCGTTTCTCCCGCTCAGGTCGGATTTCTTTAGAGGAATTTATCGAGGGCGCTGAAAAGGACCCGTGGCTGATGGATCAGCTCAAACTGGACATCGGGCCCTGCGATTGGTTCATTGAGCGGCAGGAGAAGACACAGTGATGATAAATGACTGGACTTAAAGAGACAGTAATACGCTGCCTTACGTTTTTTTTTTTGTTCACTCAAAAAAACATTGGAGAACATTCACTATATTTGTTATTGTCCACGAGGACGTGATCTGCGGTGTGACTTCAATCAGGGAGAGTTCAAATTCAGGGTAATCTGAGGGCTTAATTAAAAAAAGGGACATCTGTTTCTTTCATTGAGGTCCCTTTTTTGGGAAAGGGCCAACAAGTCACGGCCGAAGAGAGCCAGATATCTTCTTTCCCCTTAAATGTTTTTTACATCAGTACAATCCTGCATGGAGACTACGACCTGGCTGCAACGAGACCCTAAACTTCAGAAAGTCAAGAATATCCCAATCTGGATATGTCGCGCTCCAGAGTACAGAGGCTGTAGTCCTCGTCGCAGCGGCTGTGGGTTCAAATCCGACCTCTGCCCTTTGCTGCATGTCATCCAACTCTCTCTCCTCCCAACATCCACTCCTGTCTCTACCCCCCAATTAAAAGAGTATCCCATTCCATTTATTGTCTGATCATGTGTTTTTCAAATAAAACCAAAACAAACTGCTGTTTGGCCACGCCTCCTCCATACTGAAGCCTCCGCTCTCCTCCAGAGACACACCTCCAACCCCACTCCAGTCACATTCACATAAAGGAGTTATTAATTAGAAGGCACCATAATTAAGCATTAAGCGCAAGGCGGACAAAATTGTCCTCGACTCAAGCTGTGTCTTGCATTGTTGTGTTAGCATGCTAATGTTAGCGCTCTTTAGTTCGTAGCTTCACATTGCATGTAAACTGACACAGAATGAGCGTGATCTAAAAACTCTTACTAACATCTAAATAATCAGTGAGTATGTTCTTCTTCTTCTCTCTAGTTCTTGACCAAAACAGCTTTTATACACAAGGGGAGGAGCCGGCCGTCTCGTCCATGTAAACACGGCTCTGACAACAACACAGCCAGCGGGACTCGAGCTTCTCCCTCATTGTAGACAGTCATGACTCAGAGACACATTTACACAGGAGAGACTGGATTTATGATATAGTTATGTGTTTACATTTTACACACAGAGCAAGTTACAGTGTTTAAGTGTGTTTATTTTCCTCCATAAGCTGTGATATAAAACCTAAATGAGCTCCAGTCCTGCATCTACCAAAGCCCTCACAGTTGCCTCACAGAGACCTCACGGGAGCTTTCACGATATGGATTTAGTCCGAGTGACTATTTTTAGCTTTTAAGGCTCTTTACCTAATAGTATGATACCCTTTAGTTTCAATGGGACACCAGTTACAGCTACAGGGACACATACCTTTAAACCCATTTTAATGATTGATACTTATAACTCACAGTAAATATTTCAACCTGTGTGTCTGTCTCAGAGGTTTTGAGTTGTAGGTGCAGATATATTCAAGTAGTGATCAACGTGATCCTGGTGGTTTGGGTCGGCCATTATATCATACCAGGCAAAGAGCCTTAAAGGATAAGATTAGTAAGGCAGGCTAAATCCATACGGTAAAGGGTTGCAGGTGGTCACTATAAGGGGACAGCAGGTGGAGGTGACGGTGTCTCATGTGTGACACAACACCAGACGTGATACCCTCGGCTTCAGTGAGGGCACGTTTTCCTTTCTTTTTATATCACTTTTTTGCAATGATGTTATATTGCAGTGGTTAGCGATGTTACCGCACAGCGAGGAGGTGTGGAGTCTGCATGTTCTCCCCGTGCATGTGAGGGTTTTCTCCAGGTACTCCGGCTTCCTCCCACAGTCCAAAGACATGCTTGTTAGGTTAACTGCTGACTCTAAAATTTCAAGTAGGTGTGAATATGAGTGTTGCTGGTTGTCTATATGTCAGCCCTGTGATTGACTGGTGAACAGTCCAGTCTCCCAGTCACAGCTGGGATCGGCATTATGGATAATGGATGGATGAATGGATTTTTATTTAACCAGGTTAATTAAGATTAAAAACCTCTTTTCCAAGGGAGACCTGCTCGAGACGGTCAGCAGCACAAACACAAAGTTACAGATTGAGACAAAAACAGAGACCGTACGATTTACAAACCAGTAACCTTTTTGAAAAAACATCAAGTCAAATCTGGGAGTCTGTGGTTTAAACTGTCGAGCTACAAACACTGACATCCTGTAGAATCTGATTTTACGTCTTCAATTTTAGATTGTAAAACCTCTAAGGACTCCAGCTCCTTGAGTTTCATTCTACAACAGATTCCAGGCTGAGGGTGCAGACTACCCAAAAGCCCACACATGCACAAACAGGACCTGTGGAAATGGAGAGATGACACAGTGGGGTGCATCAGAGCAGTTGAGGGTTCAGTGCCTTGCACAAGGGCACCTCGGCGGTCTACAGCTACCAGACCACGGCATCGGGACTTGAACCTTCAACCCTCCGATTCCCAACCCAAGTCCCTACGGATTAAGCTACTGCCACCCCACAATTTCCCAATTTCTCTCTGAGCATTTGGGACAGAGGGCATAAGGATGTCCTGAGAACTCAAACAATACCACACGGTACTTCTCTGTGTGATAAAAACACATAGACAGTGAGGGAGCAGACCTTATATATTAAGTCTATATAAAGGTGTCCCAGTGTATGAGCCTACGGGTCACCAGAGCATGCTATCCTACCCGAGAGTCCAACTCACAATGAGTCAGAGCTTTACACTTCATTCTTTCAAACAGTTGTTTCTTTAGAATGCATTGCGTCTTTTTAATATGCATGCTGGGATTAAAGTGCGGCTGTGCGCTACGGGTGGTGAGTAAAAAGATGATGTTGTAGAAGAATTGCAATAGGGTTTTCTGCCACCACTTCACCAACTACCAAGATGCATGGTCATGGAGAGTGAAAGGCTTGAACAGGTCAAAAAGCTCCAGCAACCAGACCCGCTTCTACGAGGGTGCAAAAGGTTGCATTAACGCTCCTCAAACTGGCTTCCACTCGTCCTATTTTCTGCAAACATGACATCATTTCTTGTCCTTCCTGATTGAAGTTCTTGCATGATATGAGGCTATATGCTCGACTGTTTCTGTCTGATGACAATCATCACACACTCCTGTTGGATGTTTCCCCTTTAAGTGTAGCGTGTTGTTCAATTACTATGACTACTAAGTTACCGATTCTCAGCCTGCTTATTATTACTTGGTCTTTACTTTTATTCCCCCTTCTTGATATATTTACTCTGCTCTGTATTGAGTGTAAATTCCCCCCAGGTAATGGCTGAGTCTACTTTATCCCTCTCTTGGCCTCGCCCTATTTGGATCAAACCATTGCAGGAGAGAGGGAAACCACAGAACAAAATTCACACTGAGACAACAGTAAATCATTAAACAACAACTTAGCATGGCAATAGGCCTATTTCAAGGTGGGAAGCTAAAGGAAATGTTGATGTGCTCTCTCTTTACAAATGTATAACATTATTATTATAATATGTAATTATGTAACCAATAGGCTTTACATTAGGTTGAGAGTTTTTTTGCAGTAAATAAATTCAGCACTGTGCATAGATTGAGCTCAGATAAGGATGATGGGCTATTTACATGATTAAGTTATTGACCCAAACAGAAGAGGCATTTCTGGACAGAATAAAAACTCAAGAGAAGCTTTTTTTTTATAGCTCTAAAATATCTAAACATTTATATTTAATCATTTCACATTATTTGTGCTTTAAAGTCAATAATTCTTACACTAATGCATCGATGGGTTTTCCTCTGGGGACCTGTCAACTGACAGAATTGCGCATGCGCACGATCCTCCCAGTTGTCTGTTGACAAATGTGACCAATGCATCTCTGTCCCGTCGCCAAATGGAATAAAATGTAACTTCAGAGGATTTTGTCGAGGTAACGAAGCTTCAGGTGGACTTTTCATGAAGCTGTGAATCCAGTAAGCACTTAAGAATAATATTTAATTGAAGCGCAACTTGTATGACTGAGCAAATCTACCAAGCGTAGAGCTAGCTAAGTTAGCATGTAGCTACATAGCTTGACACATAAAGTTAGCGAGCTGGATTAACGTTTGCTCTCACTTGTAAGTATTATTTTTAAATAACGTGTTGCCGACAAAATGCTTAACATCCGAGGCCCTCTTTTGGCTGAAGAGTTAAGTTTTTAAGGTTATAATTTAGCAGTGATACGGGTTATAAGTCTGCTAACGTAGGGATAGTTTTAGCATATTCATGCTAGCAACTTAGCTGACGTGAAAAACCTCTTTCAGTGAGAAACTTTAAGCGACATGAAACAGTTTACAGGCTGTTTGCATCCTTGCTTTTGAAGTGGTTAACATTTATGCATTTTAAGTAGAATTAGAGGTCTTTCCCCGTTTTGAAAACTATGATTTTCATTGAGTTAAAGGAAACTGATCATCTTCACGTCGGTGTTTAAAAGTGTCTGCAGGTTCTGTTGGTCTGCAGGTTCTGTTGGTCTGCAGGTTCTGTTTGTGGGTTTTCCTTCATTTACATCCTTCTATCTTAATGCATTTCTTTTATAAGGTAAACTGACAACATGCCGTGATTAGGGATGATTCAGCACAGTTCCCATCATCTCTCTTCTTGTGGATTATTATTAAAATGTTTTTGTGTCAGACAATGCAAAACGAATTGTTCCGAGTTTGTTGTTTTGAGATGATGAGGAAAGACAGCAGACAGCCACGGTGTCGTTTGGGAATGTGTGAGAGAACTAGTTTGACCTGATTTCTCCTGCGTCACATGGGGGGGGGGGGGGTAGTAAGACTGGCTGAATGAGTTTGGCTGATCCTGCAGCCTGTCAGTGTGCTCAGGCCTCAAGTCCAGGCCAGTTCAGTCTGAAAGGTGTTGTTTGGGTACTAGATCTAAAAGGGAGTAAAGAATACGAGCTTGTTTGTGCTCAGTCTCTGCACCTTGTCCATCATATGAATTGTCTGGCTTGCTCTTGTTTTTATCAGCTGATACATATTGCCACACATAGGCCCATTGTTTCCACAGCTCAGGTGGAGATGACCAAACATGCAATCATGTCCTCCAGTTTGGATTGCTGCAACTCTCTTCTCACCTTTCTTGGCAAAGCATTCCTTCTCCGTTTACAACTAGTACAATATGCTGCAGCCAGACTATTAACCAGGTCCTCCAAAAGGTCACATATAATACCTCCAATTCTGTTTTCTTTACACACAATTCAAGAATCTTGTCCTTATTTTCCAAGCCCTGCATGGACAGGCACCGGCCAACCTCACAGAACCTCTACGGCCTTACACTCCCAGCAGATCTCTAAGGTCCTCTGATCAGGGTTTGCTGGTGGGTCCACACTTCTGACTAAAAATAAAGGAGGGATTGTGCTTTTGAGGTTGAAACTCCAACACTTTGGAACACTTTGCCATTGGGTTGAAGATCTTTGGGCACTGTTATCTAAAAAAAAAAAAAAAAACAGAGTTTACTCTGAAGTAACATCGATAAATGTGAAGAATGAACTTTGTTCTTCTGCAGGAGGTCGTAGATGCTCGGGTCGGCACGTTGGTGCTGCGTGTGACGTCTCTGTTGGTTTTTGAGTGTGTTGGTTGGTTCAGGGTTGTGACGAGTTCTCACAGGAGTCATACAGATACAAACAAATCTGACAGATTCGAGCACAAAATCGTAATGGCGCATTAAGGCTTGCGGTTTGAACGCAGCCTAAATTTCACAAAAACCTTGGCAATGTTTAGGTACTGAAATGTTGCCAAACCCATTCAGCCGTTGCTTGCAATTTTCAATTGAGTTATGTCACTCTTACTTACTCATCAAATAGATGTAGTTTTTTTTAAAGCTTCATAGAGACTGTTTCCTATTTTGAAACATGTGGTATCAAAAAACTATTAAGTATTAAAAGTTTTGACAACCTTATAGGAGACATAACCGTCTGGCTGGTTTTGAAACTGGACTGTGTAATCAGCTGTGATGTAAATGAAGGATGTATCATATGTCTTCTTCTTTTGGCTGATTGTCCAACACCCACTTGTCTCACTCATCCTGCGTCCGGTGGCCTGCTGGTCAGGTTGCCAGATGAACTAACCTGAGAGACTGTACAGCTATGACCTGCTAATCTAGAGTGGTTGTAAATAATTCAACGTAGGAAAACACAGAGTAGAGCACAGACTAACATTATTGCCAGTTCAGCTATTTGAGGGTGCTATTACTATGTAGCTAGAAACTACATATTCTGCCAGAGATATGTGATGAAGACAAGATGGTCACTCAACTGTGAGTAACTGTGCATGTACGTGCATCACCGCTCGACACTCTGGAGAGTGATGATGCTTGTTGTATTCAATATAGCGCCATCTGCTGGTGAAAGAGAACTGCTAGTGTAATACAATGAAACTCAAATGAAATGGTGAACTGTGAACTATGCTCCCATATGAGCATTTTCTAAATGTTGAAACAGGATGCTAGATTCATCACTAATGCAGTGAATAGTTCAAACGATCTGTTGGGTGGTTCTGACATACGATGCAGACACCATGTTTGTACTGCCAAATAATGCAGATAATTGAATTGGGTTTGATGAATAATGATGCTGAATGTTTTTGTATTTTCAGCTCTAAACTGGAACCATGCTGAAATGGTTTTCTGGAGAAGAGGGGGAGCCTGGCTCTATGGTGAGTACACTGGTTCAGATTTCTTTATTACTTAAATGGTCACATTGCCACGCTGGTCAGCTGACAACGATTAGTGTGTCGTTGAGGAAGTATTATCAGCATCGACTTACTTTTTCCACAATCACACATCTTCATACAGAACACAGTCAGATATTCTGTGTCTTTTAGGGCTTTCACACTCGCACAAAACTCCTGAAAAACTTCTGACTTTTTAGGTTAAGCTGTATGTGTGCCGAATTTCTCACTCGGACTTTGACCGGAGTTTCCGTTTTCATGAATCATTTAGTGTTTTCCTGTGCAGCCTCTTACCAACCTCTTTATTGGCTGTAAAGAAACCGAGTGAAAGCCCTGCAGTCTGTGTGCTGTCCATGTGGACTGGATTTATGTAGACTGCTGAGCACAGGGCTTTGACTCGGACAATCAGGGCTCACACTTCCTGTGAGGGGGGACCGCTGCTCAGGCTTTAATCCCTCTGCAACACTTTCCTATTTACTCCACAGCCGATGTACTTATCTCCATCTCATGTTTAGAAAATAATGCAACTTCTGATTAAACTGCTCATCATTACATTCAGTGAAGCATTTCTTAGAAGAAAGCATATCTGAGGTGGTATAAGAGCAGCATTCCTTCTCCTTGGAGTTTCTTCAGATTCCTTTCCACTATTTAACACTTTACTTCCAACTCACCAGGACCATTTGACCTTTATTCTCCTCTTTGATTGATCATGTACCGACAAAAAGAAAATACAGATTCACAAGAAATACAGTTTTTTTTAGAGCCTGATTGATTAATCGGCCGATACAAGCATATCCAGTGACTATCGGTATCAGCTCATTTTATCGCATATATGTGCCGATATTACTTGATTTATTCACCAAAAGGCATTTAATTTGGGTTTCATTATATTACTCTAGCAGTTTTCTTTCACCAGCAGAGGGCGCTATATGGATTACAACAAGCATCATCACTCTCCAGAGTGTTGAGCAGTGATGCACGTACATGCTCAGTTACTCACAGTTGAGTGTCTTCATTAAATATCTTTTCCACAAGTGTTTGATAACTGCATTTGAGGGATCAACACAATAAATGTGTTATCTTTATGTATCTATTTCTACAGATTGAACAAAGATCTAAGAAAGATATTGCACAATATATTGTATCAGAAATATTCCTCGCTCCCCAATATCAATATCGGTATCGGCCCCAAAAATCGGTCAGGCTCTAGTTTTGTTTTCATTGTTTCTTGAATCTAGCACAGTTTTATAACCAGTAATAATCCACTCTCTATTTACTGTTTCTTTAAATTCAATTTGGTGATGTTGGTAACCTGCAGCGTACTCAAGTTCAACCTCAGATGGAACTGTGTTTTAACTCACAGAGGGTTTTATAAAATGTAACTACAAAGAAAAAACAGTGCACTCATTCCAACACTGGGTGTTTTTTTTTTCTTTCTGTCTAGCCAGGATGTGCATTCCTTGAACTCACAAACACACTGACTTCTTCCACCTGTCCTCTGTCTCCCCTCTCCAGGGCCCCGGCTCTCCCCGGGGTGCTTCCTCTGCTGCTGCAGGTGGAGAGGTCGCTGTAGAAGAAATGTCAGAACGCCTCGCTCAAACTGAGCAGCTGGTCGCTCAGCTGAAAGAGTTGATCCGGGAGAAGGATGCAACACTACGCTCCAAAGACGACCAACTAAAGGTGAGATCAGTCACTTTATGTCACGGGGCTTTTTGGTTAAAACCATGACAGCGACCGTTCAAAACCAGGACACAGGAGTGTTTTATAGATATTTGTGGGGACTCAGGAAACGGAGCTGGAAAACTGGACAGCCCTGGTAAAATCTGGACGTATGGTCAGCCAACGTTAAAGCCAATCACTAAGGCTCTTTTCTGTTTTAAAGAATTCTGTAGCATCTTTTTATTCCTGTCAATGCTCTTGCTCAGAGGCCTGGCTGATAAATCCAGGTGCTGTAAATGTCATGAGTTTCTCTCTTAAAGTTTGTATTGCTTCTGCAGCTTCTCGTGTTTGTCACCGACTGAGATCATTCAGGAAGAGACCTGCATCCTGTTAACTATTAAACCAGAAAGTCAAAGTCAGCAACACAGTAATAAACCCAGGAATGTGAGATTAGACTTCATCTGTACGATGCAGTCCATCATTACACTACCAGAGTCACATCTTTTGAGGCAGCGTGTCCTCACATGTTCTCTTAGAGATGAAGAGTGTAACAAAGCATGTCACTTAAGTTACATTAAAACACATCGACTGTGTCTCAGGTGGAGAAGGAAACATGCGAGGCCAAACTGTCGAAGCTGCGTCTGCAGAACAAAGCAAAGGTGACCTCCCTCACCACACAGCTGGAGGAGCTGAAGAAACAACAGGGAGGTCAGGGCACCCCCACGCACGGCAAAAAGGTACAAGCGTACACACATTGATACACATGAAAGTGTGTATGAAAATACAAACATTTATACATAATTTACCAAAAATCACCTCTGTGTTTCGTCTGAAATCCACACGTTACTTTGAACCTTATTTAGACTTGAGTAATATACAACTTTTTCCACTAGGGAGCGCCAAAGCTCCGGCATAAAATCACTGTGAAACATTTCAACCACTGAGATTTCTAACATGTTACAGTTCATTCTAAGGATCCTGTCCGAGCTGTGTTTCTGGTAAATGTAGTCCAAAAGTTTCTTGATTTTTTTTTGAAAGTCTTGTCTTTCTGTGTCTCTGTAGGGGTCGTCAGAAGGAGGGGAGCACGCCAGTCGAGGAAAAATTGTCCTGCTCAAGAAGAAGGTGGAGGACTTGGAGCATCAGCTGGCACAAAGAGTGGAGGAACTGGACAACAAGGTGATGTTTTTAATGTCTGTTTTATTTATCAGCAAAATGAACAACGTTGAACAGGAGCAATTTCTCCTCAGGGCAAATTGTTACAGTAACAGTAAGCATTTCAAAAGACGTTTCAGCTTACTAACTTTAAGGAAAGTCTACTTTAAGGGGTTTTCCAATACTTTTAAAGACATGAATGAATCACATTTACTAGGGCTGTAACCATATTTGTATTCGTCCCAGATCAAGCGGAAACCTCAGGTGTTAAAAAAAATGAAGGCAATGCTGAAGTGCAAAATCCTGCAGTTGGTCGAGTGTCCGCTTTATTTTCTATTCCCTAATGAGCTTGGCTTCTTCTTTCTCCCAGGTGAGGGAGGTTGAGTTCCAGCGGCAGCGAGGTGAAGAAATGGACGCCATGCTGACAGAGAGGGACAGGAAGCTGGCAGAAAAAGAGGCGTACATTGTCCACCTGCAAACAGCGTTAGCAGGAGATCAGCCAGTTATACCTGCATTACAACAAAAGGTCATCCACCTCACAAATTTCTGCTATACACATCATGCTTAATACTCTTTCCCCCCCAGTATTTTTAATGCTCAAATGGTCTTTGACGCTAAACTGTTTCTGCACGTGTTCAGGTGTCAGAGGACAGCGGGGCGATGCAGGAGCTGCAGCTGCTGGTGCAGACTCTGACCAGGAAGGTGGGAGAGTCTGAGGAGAGCTCCAGTCTGCTGCAGGAGCAGGCGGACAGCCTCAAAGAGCTGCTGGACTCAGAGAAGGAGCAGTACAGTCAGAAGGAGAGCATGTACAAACAGAACGTAAGTATCAAAGCACTCAGGTTGTACTCGGGCAGATATACTTTGATCTTTGAAGAAGACTTATCGCTAATGTTTGAAGGTTAGATTGATTACCAGATCCTGTTCAAGTTTTGGACAACACTTGAATATATGTGCAGATGTTTGCTTTCTAGAAGTTTTTTTTTCCTGCTGTCTCTGTTCTGATAAAGCTCCCTCTGCTTGGTTTTCAGATCCAGACATTCAAAGACATCATTATTCAGAAGGATAACCAGCTGATGGAGATTAACCAGATGCACGAACAGGAGCTCTTCAAGCTGGCCGCAAAGTCTGACGCCAGCGCAGACTTGGAGCAGGTAACAACAACAATGAAGATAAAAGAATCGTTTGCTGTTTAACAGAAAAGTTATCCTTGTCGTCAAACTTAAGCCAGAACCCCCTGATTGTTTTAAACTCACGACTTGACTACATGATTTTGATTTAGTGTCAACAAAGCGGTGTGACTGAACTATTTTTCAGGTTTTTAAAGGAACAACATATACAATGTTTACAATAAAAACTGTAACTTAATTAAAGAGGGACTAAATGTTACACCTCCTCAAATATTTCCAAAAGTTATCAAAGCCAGAGAAGTCGTTAATTTATAGTAGCAACAGGACGTGTCTTGTCTTGGCAGCCGTCATGACAAACAGGACATGTTTGTCGTTGCCGTGGAAACACTTGATGATACTACTTCACTGAAAGGAAGCGTGAGCTGCTACTGAAAGCTGCCGTACTGCTGTGATAAAAACATCATGTAAATTTTACTCGGATACATTAGCTCGTCAGTAAACATATTCTCTTCATCAGGTGGGTTTCACCCTGTTGTCATGACTACGATCAACTTAGAGTTCGGGGGGAGTAGTAGAGAGAATCACTCCCATGACTCCCCCTCAGCCTCAAAGTCATCTTCTGTTATTGTTTTGATTGAGAGCCCCCTGGTGGTGGAATCTATATACTGTGTGTTTAATGTCGTAGCGTTGTGGTGTTTGTTGTGATTTGTTGAAAACGTCTTTTTGTGTCCTCCTCAGCTTCTCAAGGCTCTGAAACAGAAGCTCCACGAGAAGGAGGAGGTGCTTCTGGGTAAAACTCAGGTCATCGACGTTCTCCAGGGAGAGGTGGACGGCAGGGACCAACAGATAAAGGTCAGGAGCAACATCTTTTCACATTCACGATCTTCAAAGTGTAAACCTGAATCTCGTCTAAGGCTCCTCCGCTCCTGCTCACTTTCCTCCTCCAGGAGCTCCAGGAGCGACTGCGGCGGCTACAGGTAGAGCGAGAGAGCCTGGAATCAAAGATGGAGGCGGAGAAGCATGTGATGAGGGCGCAACTTCGCGACCTGATGGAGAAGCAGAGGACAGAGGTGCAGCGAATGACAGAGCAGCATGAGGCACAGATGACCCAGACGCAGCAGGACCTCCTGGGACAGCTGGAGGAGCTGAGGAGGGCTTCGTTATCAGCGCCGCCTGCCAGTCAGGAGGCCTCGAGGAGCGGAAACGTGCATTCAGATTCAGCATCAACCGAACGGGTGGCTGAACTGGAAGGTTGGTTCTTTATGTTAATGTTTAAGTCTCACTGTTCCTAAAGAGAAATAGAGACAATTTAATGGGAGCATAATCTGGCATTTATTGGCCTTTTTTGATTCTTCAAATTGGGGTCGGCAGCTGGTGGCGTGGCTCAGAACGGCGTGAAAGTCAACGTCAAATATCGATAAATTATAAATAGGTTGGAGCAGACTTTACACGTCACTGTCACTCTCTTCTCTCACTCAGCAGATCTTGTTAGCTGGTGATAACGGTGCGTTAATAATATCCACATTCATGATTGAAGTGTTGAGCTTTGATTTGTGTCAACACCCGAGACAAACTTTACTCATCTCACCGCGAGCCGTTTATCAACGAGCCTCTGAGTGTTGAGATTTGAGTCAACAGCTCGTCAAAACAAAGCACCACACTTCTGTTTGTCCACCTTCAAAATAAAAGCACCACACTTCAGTTTGTCCACCTTCAAAATAAAAGCACCACACTTCTGTTTGTCCACCTTCAAAATAAAAGCACCACACTTCAGTTTGTCCACCTTCAAAATAAAAGCACCACACTTCAGTTTGTCCACCTTCGAAATAAAAGCACCACACGTCTGTTTGTCCACCTTCAAAATAAAAGCACCACACTTCAGTTTATCCACCTTTGAAATAAAAGCACCACACTTCTGTTTGTCCACCTTCAAAATAAAAGCACCACACTCCTGTTTGTCCACTTTCAAAATAAAAGCACCACACTTCTGTTTGTCCACCTTCAAAATAAAAGCACCACACTCCTGTTTGTCCACCTTCAAAATAAAAGTATCACACTTCTGTTTGTCCACCTTCAAAATAAAAGTATCACACTTCAGTTTGTCCACTTTCAAAATAAAAGCACCACACTTCAGTTTGTCCACTTTCAAAATAAAAGCACCACACTTCAGTTTGTCTACCTTCAGAATAAAAGCACCACACTTCAGTTTGTCTACCTTCAGAATAAAAGCACCACACTTCAGTTTTTCCACCTTCAAAATAAAAGCACCACACTTCTGTTTTTCCACCTTCAAAATAAAATAACCACATGTTGTAATGTTATTATGTTAGTAAGGAGAAACTGAAATTCAGAGAGCAGAGAATCATATGCGATGCAATGCTACATCCAACGCTCTCATGCTGTTAGGACATGGTGTTAGTTGCTGAAAAGACACCATACAGACATCGTTGTTTCTTTTACCTTTGAGTTTTTTTTCTGACGGTTTTAACCAGCATTGCAAAGTTGCATTTTAGCAAACCATCAGTAAATAAAGAGTCTCATTGGTTGCATTGACGAATGTAAATTTGTAACTCCTCTTCAGAAGTCATGTTCATCTAATCAAAACATTGTATCACATCTTCCCTCTCTTCATTTTGCAGCCCAAGCAAAACAAAAAACAGAAGAAGCCAGCCGATCGGAGGCGAAGTTCCTGAAAATGAAAGCATGGTCGAAATCTCGGATCAGACAGCTGGAGGAGGAGCTGAAGAAGAGCCAGGTAACACCTTTGTTAAATTATCTCCAAGGAATTACAAGAAACTTTTAATTAATACACTCAAAAAGCATTTGTCACGATGAATTAAATATAATTTAAAAAACACAGCAATATGCCGAACACGGCCTGGTGTGCACCTGGCTCCTTTTGTGGGGGGTAGAGAAGCGCTGGCGGTACGCTCTGGAACGCTTTATGTAGCATAAAAGCGCTGCTCGTGCGGATTGTCTCTATGACAACAGTATGTTAAAAAACTGCCTACTTTTTTGGTATCCTTCCGTTGGGGTGCCAAGTGTGCCGATCTGACCCTAAAGGGTGGAGCTAGACACACTGCAGCCTGTTGATTGGTCGGAAGAATCTTCACTTCCTGTGTGACAGTGGTAATAAAGGACAAACACAACATGTTTAAATATCCTGCAGATTTGGAGAGGGTAATTTCAAGGCGTTTTTTGTTTTTTGCCTCGGAGATGCAGACTGTCCTAGGAATCATTGATCTTTGTTTACTGCGTCATGTTCTTTGTTGAATTTATCGGCCATTTGCACAATGTCACGCCGCTGTGCTGTAGTGATGTGTAAGGGTACAGTTGACTGTGGAAACATAGGTTTGGTTCAGTAAATCCTGATCTCGCTTGACCTCTTGGTGGAAATGGGGCTTTAGTGTGAGGTACATTTAAAGATGGTTATATGTTCCCTGCAGGCTGGCGTTGCCCCCCCTGACCTAAACGCCCTACGGAGTCAGATCACAGCGCTGGAGGAGGAGAGGGAGGAAAACGTCTGGAAGGTGGAGCAATACGAGGAGCTCAAAGCAAAGAACGGTGCCAAAATGTTTACTCCCAAACTGTGTGCCTTTTGTTTCAGATGGATTTATTATAATCTGCATTATGACTGGATGCTTTGATGCTAAGATGAACTGTGTTCTTAGAAATGCTGGAGGCTAAGCTGGTTGTGTACGAGGAGCAACAGAGAACTCTACAAGCAGACCTGGAGCAGTTCACCAAGAGGGCTGCTTCTCAGGTAAAGGATCCAACCTTTTTTTTCTAAACTTCCTCTTTGCAGTCGAGGGAAACAGCTAATTTACCGCTTCCTGTTACTCCATTGCTCCTTTCAATCGCAGACAAGCGAGTCGGGCAGCGCCGACGACACTCAGAGCCAGGTGCTGGAGTGGCAGGAGATGGTAACCGAGGCGGTCAGCGCCAGAGACCGTGCCAAGGAGGAGAAGGCTGCCATGGCGCTCCGCATCAGCCACATGGAGGAGGAAAGAGAGGGTAAGTGCACAACTAGAGGATGACACAAGCTCGTGCTAATTTCAAGTCATTCCAGTTTAGTGAATAGCTCGGTCGGTACAAAGGACCACACGCAGATGTTGCTGTTTTTAAGTGCTTGTTATCCGATCACCCAGGATGGATGTTATTGCAATACATAAACAGGGCCAGTGCACTTTGAACCGCCACCATCACTCCCACCATTTTTCTTTTTATTAGAGACATTTGAAGTTTGTGTTTTACTGCCGACCACATGTCCTCTGTTGTCTGACTGAACATTACTTTCTTTTTCTTAAACCCCCCCCCTTCCTCACCATTGTTAACGGGGAGCATTTGGTTTACCCTGTGGTGTCTCCCATCTCGTGGACCTCCGCCCTCCCCCACCCTCCTCACTCATCCCCCTCCAGCCCCTGCTCCAGGGATGGGAGCAGCCACGCAGAACAGTTTCCCATCAGTTTTGTGCATGCAGGCTCCTCCAAACCTCCAGTGCAGCTCTCGCTCTCTGTACTGTCTGAAGTTCCCCCAATTTAACATTTTCGCCGGGGTCGAGCTACAGGCAGTACGGCGGCATGCTTCACTTCAGGGTCCGCCATTTTGTTTTCCCTTTCCTCCCCTCCTCCTGTACTGTTCCTCTCTTCCCATTCCTTTCTGTTCTCCTGTCGTACTGTGTCTTCTCTACATCCATTACACTAAAGCAATGTGGGTTAATCCACCAGTATGATATCCTGGTTTCAAATATAATCAAGCTACACTGTCCTCTTCTTTTCTGATGGGGTGGCTAGATCAGCAGCACTAACTCTGGGACGAGAACTAACTTTGGTCTCTTACCAGATGCTCAATAACACTGATAGCACATCTTTGTTTGTAGACTTATAGTGCATGAAAAGCAAAGAAGCCAGCATATTGTTTACATATCAGTCATTTCAGAAAAGACTAAAACATTCCAGCTGTTGTCAAATGGTCTATTGCACACTCTCAGAATTAAAGTAATGCTATTTTTGATCGCAAATCTTTGCCCTCAAGGATTACATTGCAGCCCTTCCAGCCTGTTTTAAAGCTGCTTCTTGGATCATATTGTCTTTTAAAGGTCACATATCCTCCTCCTCTTCAACCAGTGTAAATGAGTCTCAGAGCTCCCCAAAACATGTGTGTGATGTTTCTTGTTCTAAATCCACTCTGATCCTGTATTTGATCATGTCTATAAACCCCTCTATTTCAGCCCTGCTCAGAACAGGCTGTTTCTGTGTCTGTACCTTTAAATATGTAAATGAGCTGTGTCCCCCGAAGGGCTTGGGTGTCTCAAGCTTTCTTGCTCCATGTCGTATTGTTTATGGTGAGAAGGCAGACTCAGAGGGCAGAACAAACACCTAGCTGGGGGAGGGTTTACTGCCCTTTGTGATGTCATGAAGGGAAAATCTCCAAACAGCCTGTTTGAGCACATATTTTCTGAAAAGTCGAGCAGGCAGAAGATGGAGAGGATGGACTTTTCTCATCGTTGGGGGGTTTGTAGACGGACTAAAGACACATGTTAGAGTTAGAGAAACATAAGGAAGTGGATTTGGATAATATGTGACCTTTAAAAAATGCAAAAAAGTATACATTTGTTAGACTTTTCAGCTTTTCATGAGGACAGAGAAGCAAAAAAATTAAGCTTAAATTCAGTAGAATATAAATATAAAATCTGTCCCTCTTAAAATACATCAGCTAATAGTCCCTTCTACATTAGATGAGGCTGTTGATTTGGATTAGCTTCGTGCGCCACAGACTCTTGAATTAATTAATCGGTGAAGTGGAGTAGACATTAATGAACCCCGTGTGAGTAATGAGACACTAAAAGCTTCACGACTCGACTCAAAGCCCTCACGCTAATTAACACTTCAAAAAGCAGAGAACTCTATTTGATTTGTCAGCTGGGTTTTTATCATTTCATTTTCTCTAACCGAACAAAAAACTGTAAACCCTTCTTCTTTTTTCTTTTGCATTCAATTCAATCTGACCGGTTTGGTTATTTTTTAGTGACTTAAATCAAAAGTTTAAATGAGCAATCTGTAAGATGTGTAGTTAAAGAAACGATAAAATTACCTTCTGTCGCCAGAAGGCCGTTTTGGACGCCCCTCAGTTTGACAGATATGAGAGCAGTTATCAGGTCAAACCAACAGGTGTTGCAGCGATGGAAGCGTTCAAGAGAAGTGGTTCAGATAGAAGTGATTGTACTCGACCTAAAAAGCCTCTGCATGTTTCTAATAAGCTCCACGAGCAGAAACGTGCTCAAACTAGGATCAATATTGGAGATGCTTTTGAAAAATGGAGAGAGGTTAGAATGCAGAAAGGTTTACAGACCGATGCAGAGCTGGATAAACACTGAAGCTTCAGTGTCCACCACATGGCAACCTGAGCATTGACTCAGAGAGGAGGGCGAGGGGAGACGGCTCTCTACAATGTTTAGAATTTGGACAGCAGTACCCATTTTAAACACTAGGTGTCAGAGTTACATATTGCTCCTTTAAACTGAGTTGCTCTGATGTGATTTTCCGGGTGACAAAGGCAGATATGCTTTATGAATGAGCCGGGCGCTCTCAGAGTTTGTGCTCATCAGTGACCTTTAAATTCACCAACATAAATCTGACTTCTGTCCGGGTCGACCTGCTCTCTTCAGCTTTTCTCGTGCTTGCAGCAGACTCAGCATGTATTTGCTGGCATTAAGGCCCCAAAATATAAAAAAAAGTAAATAGTGTCCATGTTTTAAAACCTGTAACACCCCTTTAAATAAATTCTGCCTCAAGGTATTCCCAGGCATACAAAAGAGGAGAAAGTTTCTGAATACAGCAGGTCTGACTTTTTTTTTAGGTTTCCTGTTCTTGTTTCACGAGTATCACTTATTGTTCTCTCGTTCTTACATCTTCTGTAAGCCTCGCTGCTGCTGTGGTCACTGTAGTTTAAAACGTCCTGCAAGAAGCAGACTGGAGCTGTCCTGCTTCACATTTGTTTTTTCTTCCCACCTGATTAGTTGCATGTTCTAAATCATTACACTGTTTTTATAACATTGTGATTTTCTGTATGCTTAGTCCTTTTTTAAATGGAGCCTACTTCTGCTTATCCACTGCTGCTCAACCCTCTTCTTCTCTTTCTGCCCGACTCCCTGCTTCGAGCTGCTCCCCCCTTTTCCCCCTCCCTTCACATCAAAATCAGCCTGTTGTCACAAAACAGATGGGAACACGTTTTGTTCATACTAATCAATCTGGCCTTTTCCCTGCTTGCATCCTTTGCTGCTAAATGAAAACTGAAAGAAACCGAGGAAGAAACCCCCCCCTTCCCTCAGATCTGCACCTGCCCCGAGTTGCTCTAAATAACTCTCTGGTCTCCCTGTTGAACACAAACGATGGTGACTCATGAAAAGCAGGCCCTCTCCTTCCTCCCACTGCCACTTTTACTTCCCTTCTCCCACATGTTTGAATGCTGTTATCCTTTGCTATGCAAATTAAGTGTGCATGGCTCTGACCAGAATGTTGCTTTTCAAGTGTTTCTCAGGTCCACGACGCTCATACAAATAAAAAGGTTCTCACATATTCGTAGTTTAAGTCTTCTGCTTCCTCCACACCTGATTCTCTCCCTCCCTGTCCCCGATGCTTCTTGCTCTACTCGTCTCTGCTGTCACCTTTTCAAGATCTGTTTTCTGTGTTGCAAAGTCAGTTGTTTTGGTGTTTAAAGTGCCTCATCTCTCATATCATGAAAACCATCACCACCAACACACTCATCTGTTCTCCATACACACCACCCTGTCCTCAAAAACACGTCTTCTTCCGCGCCTCCGTCATTTCTTCTTACCCATTTCAATCCCCCCCTCCCATCCATAAACACATCTTCAATCCAACAAAACCGTCCCCCTTTCCCTGTGGCACAAAACTGATTGAGGATGACTGGTTCTTTCCTGGCTGCTCCGATCCAGCTCTGGCCTCTCGGCAGCAGGAGTTGGAGGAGGAGCTGGCTCAAGCCCGGGGGCTCGGCCACCACAGGGCCAAGAAGATGACAGCTCCGGCCCAGAGAAGCCTGCAGGTGGGTGGACACGCTGACGTTACTGAGGCTGTGCTCGGGTTATACCAGAATATTCCAGAGATTTGTTCAATTCTTAAATGTTTCTAACGGTCTAGCATTGTCTACATATGCTGACTGAACTACTGAAAAGCAAATCAAATATCAGGAGAAAACATGAAAACGATCTATACGACTCTTGTACTGGTATTAGCAGCAGCTTTACACCCTCATATACACGAGTTCGATTAGTTTGTCCTGATATCAGCTCAGTTCCCGCCTCTACTTAACTTTGATTGGTCGTTGAGGGAGAGGTGACATTGACAAGTGCGGGGATGTTCTATTATCCCGATCCACCGCCAAAATTTTGAACAACGCTAACTAGAGGTCTCCGTATCAGGATAACAACCAGGATCTGATAACTCCACCTTATCTGATTACGAGATCTGCTTCTGAACAATCCAGTTTCAAGATGTAATCGTATCTGGTATCTCTAATCCTGGTGGATTTCTTCAGAGCAAACAAAGCATTCAGCATCGTCAGGCTCTAAGTGCTCAGATCGATTACAGCAGCGTTTTTTCACAGAATACCACCGCAGAGAATATTTCACTCTTCGAGTACCACCATTACGGCGAACATTGAAAAACATTAGCGTGGGGCTACTTAACTACATATAGCGCTCAAGAACTGCCCTCAATGTTGTGCTTTGCCTCTGGTCACTTCCTGTCAGCACCTGTGTGTCCAATCAGACTCAAAGCTGATCGTTTGCTCTTACTGACATTGTTCCCTTTTTTTTTCTAGATCCTTGCTTGTGTTGTACTTACTCTCTGATGTATGTCGCTTTGGATTAAAGCGTCTGCTAAGTGAATTGTAGAATTGTAGAATATATAGTTTACACAGGACGGACAGCCATTTTATTCCTGATATGCATATTATTTGTTATTAACCGCACACCACCACTGCGGCCTGGGCTCATTCTCTGCGCCGCTCCAAAAGAATCCAAACTGGATGTTGAACTCGAGGCATTTTTTCTTACTGTTTAGCATTGTGTGTTGCTAGCTGGTGCTGATACGCCACTGGCTGTGCTATCGGCGCCTCTTGCACGTGTGCTGGGTTCTCTGTCGTCGACTTCACTTCCTGTTTTGCTGCTCAATGAATCCGTCGCACAATATCGTATCGAGCCGCAAATGCAAATAATTTTAAGCGTCATATTTGCCTCTTCCGCTTGCCATCACAGCTTTGCTTGTCAACTAATGGATTTGAACATTGAAAAATAAAAAAATGGAAGACTCCCAGAGTGCCACAAGAGGGATCCCGCACACCACCATTGGTACTGGTACCACAGTTTGAGAAGGAATGTATTAGAGGATTATAAAAGTTGATGTGCGATATTTGGGGAAATAGATAAAGAATACAATTCCACTTTCGTGTCAGCTGCATTGAGCTGACTCAGGAGGATTATCTTTCTACCTTAGAGGACCTGATGCTTTAAAAAACTGTCTCTGCCTTGTTTTAAACCTGCAGGAGGACTTTGAGTTTGACGGACACGCCACGTTCCAGGACCCGCGGAGCCCCTCTGAGAGCACGACCCCAATGGAGGGAGAGAACATGGGAGGTTGGTGGCCCGAGTTCAGTTCTCCTGACACAGGTGTGAAACCCGCTGGACAGTTTACCCCGGCATGCACACGGTCATCCGCACTTTACTTTTGGGAAACTTCAGTTGCCTTTTGGGTTGAGTTTTTCGTAGTTTTCACTGTAACACCCCAAACTTTATTTTATTAACGATGGTTGGTTTTGTCTGTGTGTTATTATTTTTCCATCTAACCTGCAGACGTTTTTGAACGTCACACCTGGTGCATCTGTATTTGGGTTTCATCTGTGGGACAAACCTCTGACATTCAGCTCGTTGTGCTGCAGCGTACTGAATTTAAGATCCTCTCAAAGTTGATCAAAAAGCACACCAGGATGTTTTTTTAAGTTCCTCACTCATTCATCAGTTTGAAGTCTTTGGACTCGTGCATGCTGGTTGAGCTGGCTAGTGTTTGTTGGGTTCAATCCACTGAATGCACTGAACGTTTGTCAGATTGTATAAAATGTAGGAGGCCAGACCCGATCTGTGGTAAGTTTTATTTTTTAAATTGTCATTTTTTGCATGCTCTCCTCTTCTTCCTCTCATCCTGTGTTGGCTTCTTCCGCTTCTTCTTGTTGTAAAACCTGAAAAAGTACATCAGCATTTGTTTGAGAACAGATCCAAAAACGATAAAAAATGATGTCATAATTAAGAAGTTTTGCTTTGAACAGAAAAAACTGACTGATGTACTTTTGTGGTTTAAATCTGGAAAGACTTTGAATTTGCATTTCCCCGCCGCTCTTTGAATCTTTAACTGTGTAAAATAAAAAAAATTAATCGTCCTATGCTGCAAAGAAATCTGATTTTCTCTAAAGGCCCCGACACACCAGTGAGCGGTCGTCGCCCTAGTTTTTGCGTCGCTACCCGTCTGCCTTTTTTCAGCTGATTCAACATTTTTAATAGGTGGTCGGTGAGATGAATCACTCTGATTGGCTGTTCGGATGTTTCATTTCTCTCCAGCTCTTGTCACAGGTTCAGTAAAGCCCCTTGAGCATGCCGCTGTAGTATCCATGCTTTCACCCTTTAGTGCGGTTTCTCCTTATTTGTCTCCGCCGCCTCTTCTTTTCTTTTTCCACTAGAAGACCAAGGGCTGACAACAACGACAGCGCCATTTTCAACTTTTTATCAGACATTATTCTCCATTAGTAGACTACCTGTAATACAAGTGGTGACCGACAGCGGTTTGAAAATGGTCTTCTCGTATCATAACGGACTACTGCCCCCTGCTGGCATGTGGAGTTATTTCCTCTCACACATGAGCAGAACGTACGTGGTGGTTGGCGGTTGGCTGTAGTCTTTGCGGTGTGTTCAAGTGCAACTTTTTGAACCAAGACAAAGTCGGCCTTCGTCGCCACTATTTCTTAGCCGTCTGCTTGGTGTGTCAGGGCCTGAAGACTTTGTGTCCCACTGATTCAGCTTTCCATCAGATGTGTAGTGGGATGATACTGAATTTAAAGAAGTAGTGGGGATAGTTTCTCAGTCCCTCTTCCCCCTTGTAGTCTTGATTTGTTCCTGACTTTTCTCCGTTCATGGCACATCTTTAATACAAATCCTCTTTCCTGATGACTGCAGATGGTTTGCGTTCGGTTGTGGAGGAGCTGGAGCTGGAGAGGAACCAGCTTCAGGAGCAGATCCTGAGCCTGGAGGAGCGCTGCCAAGACCTGGAGGATCGACTGCAGCTGCAGGCTCGCATCGAGTCGTTACAGGTAACGCCATGATACACACAGCCACACCCAGAATCACACACTTCCTCATAGAGGCAGAGACCAATGGAACCTGAAGTTTCTCAGTTCTTATCCAGAGGTGGGTTCAGACCAAAAGCAACACATTTCTCTTTTTTTTGCACAGCATATCTTGTAATATCTTGTAAATAGAAATTCATCTTAACTTTACATGTCTGATAATTTACATCATCAGTAACCCAACAATGTGACGACCTCAAAGAGGGGAGTGTTTACCAACAAATTCAAAACATAACAAGTCTCCAGCAGTTTTTATTTTCAGCTTTTATTTTAAACAGGATCATGTTAAAAGTAGCCCCCGTCGTCACCTGTCAGAGCTCCATTTTCAAAGGTGAAAAAACACAAACAAACAAGTATTTTACCTGAACTTTAACCTTCTTGCAGACATCTCTGACAATAAATTCAGACGTCTCACAAAACTGCATCATGATGCAGCTATTTCAGCATCATTTCAACACATTTATTGCCACTAAATCACAAAAAAAGTGTTGATCTTCCAGATTTATCCACAATTCCAGATTTTTTCTTTTCTTTAAAAGATTTATTTAGAGACAGGATGGTGGATAGATTCAGAAATCTGTGAGAGAGAGAGAGTAGGAAATGACATGCAGGGGAGGAGTCGCGGGTTGGATTTGAGCTTTGAGTTCTAAAGCCTCTGTACATGGGGGGCAAGCAAACCAACCTCCAGGCCAAAGGCGACCCTGGAATTCCAAGTTGTTTTTTTTACCATAAAAGTCGACCAATGAGACTTGAAGTGTCCATAAAAGTGTTTTTAAACCATGGACTACACCTGGATGTGCCGCCCAGTCATATTTAAAGAGGACATAGTAGGCTATATTATCCGTCTGTTTTTATTCGTATAAAATCGACATCTAAAATCCATAAACCAGTGGACCTAATGCACATGCTCTAACAAACACTCTGATGGAGTTACCTGGGAGCTGAGAAACACTGGTGGATGTAAACATTTGCAGTTTGAGTTTAAGAAACAGAAACAACCTCATGGACCGAGTTTCAAAATGGCTCCACTTTTGGTCTGAACACACCAGCATGAGTTACCTACTGAAACATAACAATGAGTGAACTTGCATGTTTCCCCCCCTCCTTTGGAAAACTGGGATTTTGTAACCAAGCCTTCTAACACAGGTGACGTTTGATGTAGATGAAGATGAGCCGCCGTTTTGGGTCTCTCAGGTGTGTTGGGCCTCTCGTGTTTGTGTGCGCTGGAGAGCAGCTCTGGCGGTGACGGCTAACGGTGTGGTGTGCTTGTCTTAAAACACGTTCTGTTTTATTTTGAATGTTCTGTCGCAGACCTCCTGGGTGTCCAAAAATCACACGTCACAGGTGAACTCGGAAATTTTCAAAAGTTTTTTTTACTTCCAAAAAACTGGGGTGGAAATGAGTCACAGCTTCTCCAGCGGGTCTGCTGTCGTCCACGTCTGTGTGCAGTGTGGGTGTTTCTTTCTGAAGCCGTGCAGATCTTAATCCTCGGGTTTTGATCTCTGCTTTTTCTGCACGCCACAGAACGAGTCGGACAAACTGCAGAGCCAACTGGCCAGCATTCGAAGTCAACAGAGCAGAGATGCAGAGAAGCATCAGCTGCTGGTGAGCAGCCTCAACGAACAGCTCAAAGGGTAAGCGTTTCTATCACAGCTGATTACTAAGTTATTCTTCAACCTGTGTTTCTTTTTTTACATTGCTACTACAATCACTTTCTGAGGAATTATGAGGGTCTTTTATTTTTACAGTTTGGAGGTCAAAGGTCAGTTTTATTGAAAGTCAGTCGTGGAGTTTTTCTTCTACCTCATAATCACTCCTCTTTTCAGAATATGACTTTAGTTTTCTATTTTGGCTCCTGATTGTATAATATAATAGATTGTTATACTCTTTAGAGCAGGGGTGGGCCACATGCGGCCCCCATCAACCCTCAATGTGGCCCTCAGATCAATTTTTACACATCAATTAATTGGAAACACAACAAGAAATTATGACAAAATCTGCCATGAAATCATGAAAACCAGTAACATGATAATATTAGATCACTGGTATATGTTGAGTTAAATTTCAGACATAATTGATTTTAATCGTTTTTATGTATGCAGTTTGGCCCCTTGGCAGTGAGAGTTAAATGAATGTGGCCCTTGCTGTAACCAAAGTTGCCCTCCCCTGCTTTAGAGCATTGAATGATCACGTTAAAGAACTTCTGAAGCCGTGCACCACCAGCTGGACTCTGAGGTCCTCTAATCATCTTTGATTAAACTGAGCACATTTTATCCGTGTTCTTTTCAGACTGAGTGACACACAAGAGTGTCTGGAGAGTTCTCTCATCGAGAAGGAGAACACGTTGGCCAAGACGTCGGAGAAGCTGGAGCTCATCAGCAGCCTCCGAGAGTCTCTGAGTGACAAAGAAGTTCAATACAAAGAAGTGTCGGACAAACTTCTTCACACGGAGCACACTGTGAGTTCTTCTTCCCTTTTCTGTTTTTTTGTTTTTTGTTTTTTTGTTTTGTTAATTTTTTTTTCTTTTACGTTTTGTTTCTTTCTGCAGCTCGAGAATGTTTCTAAGAAATGCAGCAGCTCGGAGAAACGGTGCTCTGAGTTGAAGACAGAAGTTGTGGACTTGACGCAGAAGCTGAACACGCTGAAGGAGAAGGTGAGCTCCTTTTTCTACTAGCTTGGTTTTTATGTGCTTTTTTTTCCTAACTTATTTTAGGCAGGTATTTTTGTCCACATATCAAACCCGGTTTAAGTTTAACAGTGAGGTTGTGGTCTCTTATTTCACTGATCATTCTTCTTTACTTCCTGTTTCTCAGGCACAAAAGCAGGAAGTGACCATCGAGACATTACAAAGTGACCTCGATCAGACGAACGAGGAGCTGGACAAACTGAACACCGCCTACTTGCAGGAGCGAGCGCAACTCATCCACGATCTCCAGAGCTGCGAGCGGGAAATCGACAGTCTGAAAGATATTCTCGTTGAAAAGGACAAGGAGATTTCCACCCTCTCTGGCAACATGGCGGAGTACGCAGAGCAGATCGCGGTGCTGAAGCAGGAGATCAAACTGAAAGACGAGCACCTGGTTCACGTGGAAACGGCACTGAGTAAAGCAGAACAGGAGGCCAGGATTATGAGGGAGTCGCAGAGTTCAGACCAGCAAGCCTTGGACAGCAAGATGACGGAGCTGATCGAGAACCTGAAGCATGCTGAGACCGAGTTGGTCAAGGCCAAAGAGGAAGGAGAGTCTAAACGGACTGAGGTGGATCATCTGATCCAGCAGACGGAGGACGACAAGAAGACGATTCAGGAGCTTCGAGGGGAGGTCCAGAAACATCTTGTGAGCCACTGTAATCACCTCTCTGAATGTGAATCTCACATAACTGCACTGAAGGAGCAGCTGAATGTCTCCACCCAAAAGCTGCAGGAGTCAGAGGGGCTCATTTTGCAGCTCGAGGAGAGAAGTTCAAGCAGTGAGCAACTGCAGCAACATCTGAATGATAAAGAGCAGGCACATGAGAAAGAGCTGAAATCTCTCAAGGATGAGCAGAACAAGCTTCTTGTACAGGTGGAAAAGTACGACAATGAAATGCAGACGTTGTCCAAACAATTAGAGGAGCAGATACAGAGCAAGGAGCAGGTCAAGAAGGACATGCAAGAGAAACTGGAAACCATAACATCTCTGGAAAACCGACTGAAGGAAACTGACAAAGAGCTGCAGGTCCGGGATTCAGAAAAGGAGAAGCTGAGCAAAGAGCTTCAAAGTAAATCTGACAACGTCTCCAAACTCAAGAATGTATTAAAAAACATAAAGACCGAGAAGGCTCAGCTGCAGGACAAACAAACGGCGCTGAAAAAGGAGCTGGAGCTGCAGAAGCAGAATGTAAATCAACTGAAAGAAAAGGTTCAATCCGCCTCTGAACTGAGCGCCAGTCTGGAGAATCAAGTGCAATGCCTTAAAAAAGAGAAGGAGAAACTTGAACTGGAAGTTAGTGAAAGTGTTAAAACGATGTCAGACGTGACAGCTGAGAAAGATTCCCTGCTAGCCAGATTATCTACATTGGAAACCCAGCAAACACAAAACAATGGGATCATCGACGGGCTGCAGAAAGACAAAGAGGAACTGACTGCTCAAACTCAGGAGTTAAACCGAGTTCTTGAGCAGAGCACACACTCAAACTCTGAGATTCTCCTGGAAAAAACAAACGAATGTAGTCACCTGAAGCAGTCACTTAGGGACAGAGAGGAGGCGGCGACTCAGCTGCAGGAGCGAGTGCAGAACTTGACTTTGAAGATGGAGCAGCTCCAGCATGACGCGGCAGATAAAGAGCAGACCGTCAGAGATCTGCGAGTGCAAACAGAGGCACAACAAAACGAGCAAAGACAACTTCAGGAAACGCTCTCGCTGCTGCGAGAGCAGGACAGCGGTCTGAAGTCCGGGCTAACTAAGATGGACGCAGCGTTGAAAGAGAAGCAGGAGGAAATATCACACCAGAAAAATCTAGTGTCAGAGCTACAAGCAGAAACGGGATTACTCAAAGAGGAACGCTCACAACTTCAGCAGCAGATAAAAGAGAGGGAAGAAGTGGTGCAGGATGTGAAGCAGCAGTGTGACGGACACAAAGAGGAGCTCGATGAGAAAAATAAGATGATTAAGTCTCTGTGCGGTCAAATCGCAGCGATCGAGGAAAACTCCAGAAAGCTTGAGTCTGAAGCAGAGCTGAGGCGGGCAGAGGCGGCTCGCTTACACAGCCAAATCCAAGCGCTGAGCGAGGACAACAACCAGCTTCGTGCTGCTTGTGAATCCAGAGAAAAAGAGATTTCTCAGCAGACGCAGGCTCTGTCAGACCTCCATGGACAGCTTCAAGTCACCCTTGAGCAGAACTCCAGTTTTAGTGTGAAGATCAGCAGCCTGACAGAAGCGAATCAGAAACTACAAGAGGATTTAGCCGAGAATGTGAAATCTGTTTCTGAACTCACCAGAGAGAGAGGTTTACTCCAAGAGCAAAAATCTGGACTTGAAATTAAAAACGCAGAGGATCATAAAACAGTCGAAGGTCTGCTTAAGGAGAAGGAAACACTCACGTTTGCAGCTGAGGAGTTAAAAAAGATCCTCAAGGAAAGTGAAGAGTCGAACTCTGCAGGTTTGCTTGAGAAGACGAGTGAATGTGCAACTCTTTCAAAAACGTTACAGGAGAGAGAGGAAGAACTTCAAAGTCTTAAAGAGCACATGGAAGGCTTGAAACTCCAAGTCGGTCAACTCAACGTGTCTCTGAAGGAGAAAGAACAAACAGTGTCACATCAGAGTTCACAGCTTGAAGCTCAGCAGAACCAACTGCTGCAACTTCAGGACACCGTCTCCATGCTTCAGGAGCAAGGATCTGTCCTCAAGCCGGCGCTGATGGAGAAAGACGCGATGCTTCAGCAGAAATCAGAGGAGTGTAGCGTGTTACTGAACGAGGCCATGCTGCACAAAGGTCTCTTATCACAGATGCAGAGCGAGGTGGAATCTCTCCGCCAAGAGTGTTTGGAGAAAACACAGCAGATGGAGCAGCGAGCGCAGGCTTTGAAGGATGTCAGCACGGAGCTGCAGAGCCACAAAGAGGAGCTGAATAAAAGAAACGAGTCAGTGATTTCACTCAGCAGTCAGCTCGGGGCCATGAATGAGAACTCTGCAGAGATGGAGGGTGAACTAAACGACCTAAAGGCTGCAGTGCAGAAACTCACAACAGAAAACCATCAGCTGACACAAGAAGACGAGCAGAGGAAAGTAGACATCGTCGATTTTAAAGATAACATTCAAGCACTGAATGAGCAGAACACAAGATTTAAATGTGAGCTCCAGAAAACGATCACTGAGCTGTCCAAGGTACAGAAAGAAGGAGAAGAACTCAAAGAGGAACTCAGGGTGATGCACGCAGAGAAGGAGACTCTTCATTTGACCATGCAGGGTCGAGACGGTTCCCTGAAACAGCAGGAGGATTTCATCCAGCAGCTCAACAGCAGGATTGTCGAGCAGGAGGAGCTGATTAAACAGAAAAGTGCACAAGTGTCAGAGCTGGAAGATTTAGTGTGTAAACTCAGAGGTCAGTTGACAGCCTGACATCGGAGTCGTCACAACTGAAAAATACTTTAGAGAAAAAGGAGGAGTCAAGTCTTGAATATCAAAGTCATTCGTTAGCCACAGCTGAAAATCTCAATTCAAATCTGAAAGCCAAAGAGGCCGAGTGTGAGAGCTTAAAAGAACGGGTTTCACACCTTGAAGAATCGTTCACAAAGCTCAACGACTCCCTCCATACACAGAAATCTGAGGCTGAGCATCTGAGTAAGACTCTGGAAGAGAAAGATGCATCTCTTTTAGACCAATCCATTCTCTCCAGGATGTTCAGAGAAGAGCGGACGAGGCTTTGCTCTTCAAATCCCAGTTCATGGAGAGCACGGAGCTGGTGTCGCAGCTCCAGAGTCAGATTCAGTTACTGTCCACCGAGTCTGAAAACCTCAAGGGGTCGGCGGAGGAAACGCAAAGTGCCTTTAACAACCTTCAAGAGAAATACGCAGCTAACTTGGAGGAGCTGCAAGATGTGAGGAAGCAGCTGTCCCAAAGGCTGATGAGGTGTCAAACCTTCGGAAGTTATTGGATGATACAAATACAGAACATGAGACGGCAAAGAGCGCCGTAGAAACTCTGAGGAATGAGTTATCTGAGATCCATCACAAACTTCAAACGACTGAAGAGCTAAACTCGAGTCTGTCAAAGGAGAAGGATGAAGCTTTGGCTTCTCATCAAAAGAGCGTGTCTCTGCTGACGGTCGAAATAGAAAGACTCAAATCTCAGCATCTTCAAGTCGTGGCGCAAATGAACGCCCTGACAGAAAACCTCGAGCAGAGAGAAATGGCGCTCCACGCAATCAACAGCCAGTACACGTCTCAGGCCAAACACACGACTCAGCTGGTCTCAGAAATGCAGAAACTCGAGGAGCAAAATAAGAGACTGAACAAGGAGATCAGCTCGTCCAAGCAAGAGCATCAGAAGCTACTTACAGCCGTCAGGAAGGAAAACACACATCTGCAAGAGGAAGTGAGGAAAGTCCGTGAGGAGAAGGAGGAGTTAGAAAGAAGACATCACGAAGCACAGTCATCGCAGGTTCAAATGGAGCAGCACTCCAGCAGCATGAATGAAACGATGGAGAAAATGATGTCGGAGAGGGAGAGCCTGCGAGCAAAGGTTAGTGCCAAAGACGAAGAACTCTCTGAGTTAAAAGACACCATTCAGAAGGTAGAGCAGATTCTGCAGGACTCTGAGAAAGAGTGGCTGCTAGTCCTGGATAGAGAGAAGCAGGATAAGAGTTTCCTCGCAGAGCAGTTAAAAAGTGTTGAGAATGAAATGAAATCTAAAGATGTCAGAGTTCAAGCTTTGAAGCAAGACTTGGACGGTTTGCAGGAGAAGCTGGCTGAGGCGTCCAATGCCATTAGACATGGTTCTGATCAGTTGAGCGCTAAAGAGTCTGAGGCCTCAGCGTCCAGGATTCAGCTGGAGAGGGTTTTAGCTTCTGTCCAGGAGAAGGATAATATCAATAGTGATTTACAAAAGGCTTTAAGAGCCGCAGAACAGGAGTTACACAAACTTTTATCTTTTCGCAAAGACTCCTCTGTCTCGACAATGATCACGTCTGAAAGTGCAGCAGAAAAATCCTCTTTGCAGGATATGATAAAACAGTTACAAGAAGGGCATCAGTGTGAGGTAGAGGCTTTGAAAACCGAGCTGAATAAAACAGTGACACAGCTACAAGAGACAGAGGAAACACTCAGTGCAGGACAGAGGAATAACGAGGAGAAGGGTGAAAAAGTTTATCTTTTCCAAGAGATGGTAGAACATCTGCAGACGCAGCTCAGCGCTGAATCAGAGAGAGTCAAAGAGGCGTCAGTCCAACTGTCTTCTCTACGCAGAGAGCTGACAGCAAAAGAAGAGCAGGTTGACTGCATGAGCGTTCAAATAAGTCAGCAGAAGGAGTTACTTGCAGGACTTAGTCAGCAGCTAAGGGATAAAGATGCATCCATTGCCCAAGTCATGGAGGCGGCCTCCAATGAGAGGATGAAACTCGATGAGGAGAACACTGCCCTGAAAGCTCAGATGGAACAGCTGGAACAAGACCACAAGATCTCCACGAAGAGGCTTGAAGAGGTGTCACAGCAGTTAGAGGAACATACATCACACTCTCAAAGTGAAATGGAGACCAAGAACTCGGAGACGCTCGAGCTGATGAAAGAGAACGCCGACCTGAAGAGCGAACTATCGAAGGTCTCCAAAGAAAAAGACGGGACCAAGAAGAAGCTGCAAGCTGCTCTCCTAGTGAGAAAAGATCTGTTGAAGAAAATAGAGCGATATGAAAGTGAGAGAGAAGAGAATGAACACGATAAAAGTGAAGTCTCTCTTTTAGAAGATAAAGTACAGGAAGTTTCAAATCAAGCGCAAGAATCTGCAAAAATGTTTGAAGATAAGGTTTCTCTGCTGGAACAGAAGATTCTTGAGAAGGAGGAAGAGATGATCAAACTCAAAACAGAAAGTGAAAGAATAGTTGATCACTTACAGGCTGAGAAACGTACTCTGCAAGAAACTTTGCTTAAAAACGAAGGGTGTTTGTCTGAAGCTCTGCAAACTGTGACTGAGAGGAGCTCCCTCCTGGAGCAGCTGCAGTCCAGTGCTGCTGAGAAGGACGAGGCTCACGAGCGGGACAGACACATCTGGATGCAGAAAGTAGAAGAGCTTCAAAATGAAATGAAGACATGCAAAGAGGAGTTACAGGACAAATCCACGAGCGCAGACGCTGCTGTAGATCTAGAAAACAAGCTTGCAAAGATGAAGCTTGAGAAGGCGACGCTGCAGAAAAAGGCTCAGGCCGCCTTGCTGGCACGCAAAGAGACAATGAAGAAAGCTCAAGAAAATGAAAAGAAATTAACTCAAGAGCTGAATGAGCTGAAGGACGACTACAAGGCGCTTCTGGAACAACGCTGTCAGCAGACCAACGAGCTAAACGCCGTCCAGTTGAACTTCGACGAGACGCTACGAGAGCTGGAGGATCTCCGTCACACCTATCTGTCGGAGCGAGACGAACTGGACGCTCTGAGGCAGCTTGTTGAGGAGAGGGATAAAGCTCTGCAGGATCTGAAGATGTCCCTGGCTGAGAAGGAGAGTCAGTGCCATTCTCTAGCTGACTTACAAACCGAACTGGAAAATGTTAAATCCAGAAATGAGAGCATGTCTCTGGAGATGGCGAGTCAGTCTGAGACCCTGTTGGTCGTGGAGCACAGAGCAGAGGATTGGAAATCAAAAGTTCTCATGATGGAGGATGACTTAGAGAAAGCTTGCGCTGAATTAAAAGAGAAAACTGAAGAAGTGGAGAAATACAAGGAGACGATTAAACATGCCGAGCTAAAGATCCACGAAGAGAAGCAAGCTTTATTTAATGAAAGAAACGCGTTGGAGACGCAGCTTGGCATCTCTCAGTCGGCACTGGAGGAACATGAAGAGAAAAACCGACTTTTGACGGAAGAGAACAAAGCGCTCGTGGAGAAAAGGACTCGGATGGAAGTGGAACTGGAGGCGGCAGCTGCTTCGCTCTCGCAGAAGTCCTCGGAGGTTGTGAGCATCCAGAAGACTTTAGCAGAAACACAACAGCAGCTCAGTGAGGACAAAATAGTTTTATCAAAGGAGCGTGAGGAAGCACAACTGCAGAGCACTGAGAGACTGCAGAATTTGTTGATGCAGGAGAAAGAGAACGCTCTGAGTGTAATCGATAAACTCAGAGAGGAGGTGAGCACTCTGAGGAGGCAGCTGAAAGAGGCGGAGAATGTAAATGAGCAGCTGCATCAAAGGAAACAAGACGACGTTAACAAAGAAGACGACGTCTGTTTGTCTTGTAAATGTGCTGAAAACTTTGAAGTGAAGCTCAAGGAGAGGGACAATGCCTTGTTAATATCTCAGGCTCAAGTTTCAGAAAAGGAGGAACTGATTGCTGCACTTGAACTGCAATTACAGCAGCAAATCAAAGTCCATGAAAAGGCCATTGACAGGATGGGAAAAGAGGCAGATGAGCTTCAGAAATCTCAAGGAAACGGCTCCAAGACGACTGGGCAGGACAGCCAGAGCAAAATCGCTCTCCTCACCAGGAGACTTCAGGCAGCTTTGCTTTCAAGGAAAGAGCTCCTGAAAGAAAATGCATCACTTAAGGAAGACATAGAAAAGCTCTCGGCCACACAGGAAGCTAAAGAAGCAGAGTTTAGTTCTCTGGAATCATCTCTTTCAAAGTTAAAACAACACAAAATGGACCTGGAGAACAGGGTGTTGTCTCTAAGTAAGGAAAAAGACGAGCTCAGCTGTGAAGCCGATGGCATCTGCAACGATAACCGCAGTCTTTCAGCAGCATGTGAGAGTTTGAAACTAACCATAGAAAACATCACCCAGCAGAAAGAAGCATTCTCCTGCCAGCTTGAATCTCTGAAGGACTCTCAAACGGACGAGCTCTCCAAGTGGAAGTCCAGGCACGCCGAGCTGAAGCAAGAATACGAGTCTCTTCTACAGGCGTATGAAAATGTTAGCAGCGAGATGGACAAGATGAGGCAGCTTTTGGAGGGGGCCAAAAGAGACAGACAGGAAGCTCTCCGAAAAGTCCACAAACATGACAGTGAGACGGAGGCTCTGGAGAAACAGGTGAAAGAGATGGAGGAGGAAAACGGGAGGATCAAAGAGAGGATGCATAAATTCTCCAAAGACAAGCGGCAAAAGATTGAAGAGCTGGAGGAGGAGAATCGGAAACTCCGAGAGGAACTGAATGAACTTGAAGAAAACCACAAAGTGTCGATGTGCAAACTGAGCGATACCAATCAACAACTGGAGGCTGAGATTTGCAAACTGAAAGAGTCCTCAGAGCGTCTAACGGAGAAACTCGCTGAACTGCAGGATGAAAATAACCAGCTGGCAGGAAAAGTTGAAGAAGCGACCTGTTCGTTGGAGAAGAAGGACTTGGAATCAACGTACACATGTAACATGCAGCTGAAACTCGATGAAGCACTCGGTTTGAATAACTCACTGACCGCACAGATTGAAGCCCAGAAAACTGAACTGGGTGCTCAGTTTGAAATCAACAATCTGCTGCAAAAGGAGAAACAAAATCTTTCTGAAAGGATTGAGAATATACAGACTGATCACGATCTGCAGTTGGGAAAGAAAGATGACGTCATTAAAGAGCTGAAAGACGTAATCAACAAACACAGCCAAGAGACGATCAGCCTGAATGAGAAGGTGAGGATCTTGGAGGACGACAAGTCTCTCCTGCAGGAGGAGCTCGAAAATGTTCAGGAGACTTCAGACAAGGTGAAAAATGAAAATGAGTATTTGGAGACTGTGATCCTGAAGAACTCTGAGAAGATCGACGAACTGACCGAGTCGATAGCTTTGCTGCAAACCCAAAAGACGCAGCTGTCGTCTCAGTTAGCAGCAAGCGAGGAGACGAGCAGCCGAGTTCGTCAGGAAAAGGAGAAGGAACAGCTTAAATTAGTGCGGGAGTTTGAGGAGAAACTCAAGTCGGTCCAGAGAGGCAACGAGGGCTCCAACAACGTGAAGATGGAGCTGAGAGAGCTGCTCAAAGAGAAGCACCAGGAGATCAATCTGTTACAGCAGAACTGCATCCAATACCAGGAGGTGATTTTAGATCTTGAGAGTTCTTTGAAGACCTTGCACTCGGCGTGTGAACAGCTGGAGAAAGAACTCAAGAAAAGCTCAGAGAAAATATCCGTTTTAGAGGAGAGAGGTAAAGAAGTTGAAACCGAGTTGGTCAAGCACAAAAAGCTCCTCCAGGAAGCCAGCGAGAAGATCCTGAGTGTTGAGAGTGAACGAGACCAGCTGGCTCTGGTTGTTTCACAGGAAAGTAAAAGGTCTAAGGAACAGTGGATGGAGGAAACTAAATCACGACAAATTAAAGAAGAGAAACAAGCTAATACCTACATGGAGAATCAGCTTGTGCTCCAGCAGCAGATAGAGGACCTCAGGGACCTAAAAGACAAAGAGAGTCAGAGAGTAAACGAACTGAGGCAGGAGCTGGACTCTCAGGATCTTCAGATAAATACTCTAAAGAGAGCAGCAGAGACCAATGAGGCCAAGCTGTCGGCTTTATCCGCCGCTCCCCAGGGTGCAGAGGCCACCAAACTGTGGAACGATCTGTTCCAAAAGACGTTACACGAGAAGGACAACCAGCTGCTGGAGCAGGGTTTCGTGATCAAGCGGTTCCTCGAGGACATGAGGGCGAAAGACAAAGAGGTGAACGAGCTCCGAGTGACCAAGTCGAGACTGGAGAGGACACTCAACGAATACTCGATCGCTGCAGCAGCACAGCAGAGACAGCTGTTTGTCATGAGTGCAAGTAACGCTGAATATAGTGAAACGGTGGAACTTCTGGCTGTGCAGGTAAAGGAGCTAAGTGCTCACGCTGATAGAACAGAACAGGATAAAAACACTCTGAGCAGACGGCTTGCCGACAAAGAAGATGTGATGTCCCGAATGCAGCTGAATCTCCAGCAAACGGAGAAGCTAAATGCAGACTCAGACGCTCAGCTGCTCCTTCTACAGAGTAAAACTGACCAGCTGCAGGCTGACTTCGAGAAGCAGGAGGGGATTTCTCTGCAACTAAAAACTCTCCTGCAGAGCAAAGATACTGAGATCTCCTCCCTGCTGTCTTCTAGAGACGGACAGATGTCCGGATATCTGGAACAACTCCACGCTAATTATGGCAAGCAGGTTGCGGTGTACGAGGACCGGTTAGCATCTTCACGCTACCAACGAGAAAAGGCCGACAAAGAGCTGCGGGCGCTGGAAGCCAAGGTGAAAAGTTTGCAGATCACAGTGAACCGGTCTGTGCAGGAGAAGGAGCAGACGGCTGCTCAGATGGACTCCCTGAAGAACTCGATGGTGTCTCTACAGAGCGAACGTGAGCGACTGGTGTCAGAATACAGAATACTTGAAGCAAAGAGTCAGCTGGGTTTAACGGGTAAAGACGGCTCTGCTGACGGTGAAGGCGGTGCCACTAAAGGCCTTAAACATGAAATCAGGAAACTGTTGCATCAAATGGACGATCTGAACTCGGAGAACGCTATGCTCAGGGCACAACTGGTCCGTTACAGAGAGGACCTGAATCAGGTCTTATCCCTGAAGGACAACCAACTAAGGGGGCTGCTGAAGAAGCAGCAGGATGTCATCAAAAATCTTGAAAACCAAAAAGCTTCAGCTGAACAGCAGGAAAGAGAGTCTCGGCGTGAGCTCCAAAAGGAGGAAGAAGAAAGCAGTGGTCAGAAAGCGGAGATTTCTAAACTCAAAGCTCAGGTTTCAACACAAGAAACTCAAATATTAACTCTGAAGAAGGAGAGAGCCATGACGGATGAGGGCAGGGTGATTGGTGATTTGCAGGATGCGGTGGCGGCAAAAGCAGCTGAATGTTTTGACCTCCAGCAGAAGGTTCTCTGCCAGAAAACACTAACCGATGAGCTCAAGGGAAAAATGAAGCTGTTGGAAAATGAAACGGAGAAGACACTGGCTGAAGCTGAGGACAAATACAACAGTGAGCTGGACACTTTTGAGCGCGAGGTGCAGGTGATGAGGAACGAGCGAGAGACGGCCGATCAGAGGGTGGCAGAGCTCGCTAAAGACCTTGTTGACATGGAGCAGCAGTTGTCGGCGGCTCAGACACAGAGCAAAGAATCAAGAGCTCAGAATGAGTCTCTGTGCAAAGCCATGGTTGCTCTGCAGGATGACAGAGACCAGCTCATAGAAGACTTCAAGACCCTGAGGAACAGATACGATGAAGAACTCAGAGAGACTCAGGCAGCCCTGATTAAGGTCGAGCGCAGTCTGCAGGACGCCATCTCTGACTTGGCGATGGTCGCCAAGGAGAGGGACATCCTTGTTCATAAATCGAAAGCTTTAGAGAGCAAAGACGCTCCAGCAGAGCTGAACAGGTTGATGGACGAGCTGTCAAAGGCTTTGTCGGAGAAGGAGAGGGAACTGAAGCAGGTCGTGCAGGAAAACAACTCTTACAGCCGGCAGCTGTCAGCCTTCTCCAGATCCATGGCCAGCCTCCAAAACGATCGGGACAGACTGATGGACGAGCTGAGTGGAGCCAAAAGAGCGGTTGAGTCCAGACAAGGGTCGAGCCCAGAGAGTGTCACCTCCATGAGTGTGCAGAAGTCGAAAGGAAGCGGCGTCCGTGCCCTCAAGAAAGAGAGAGACGGGCCGGTAAGTCATCAGCTGTGTTGAGTTTGGCTGTTGCCTGCGCTTCCTCTCGGTGCTGTGTTTGATTCTGTGGAGAGCATGCAGGGTCAAGTCTCATCTTTGTTTTTGGTTTTGTATCAGTGCTTGGACTTGCATGGTGTTTCTGTTGGGATGCACTCATCTTCACCGTCTGAAGATAGTTCTCTTTATTAACGTCGTCAACAATGTCCATACTTTGATACTTTTCGATACCTCATGTTGAAGATGAAACAACAACAGTTATTTTAATAAACCATTGTATCGAAAATTACCAAACCTTATTAATTTCAAAGGACAGTTACTTGTGAATCCAATAGAAATTGCAAGTAAACTCCTTTTTTTCTGTGATTCAAAACAAGAAATTATCCAAACTGGCTGTCTAAAACTTCAAATTTTTGTTTCTGTGATATCCAAACAGACATAGGTCAAAGTTTAAAGGTCACATATTGTTTTAAATCCTCTTCACCATGTTTCTCCAACACTAATGTGTCTCTAGTCCGTCTACAAACCCCCCAATGATGAGAAAAGTCCATCCTCTCCATCTTTTGCCTGCTCCACTTTTCAGAAAATGTGTGCTCAAACAGGCCGTTTGGAGATTTTCCCTTCATGACATCACAAAGGGCAGTAACCCCTCCCCCAGGTGGGTGACTCTCCCACAGCTAGGTGTTTGTTCTGCCCTCTGAGTCTGCCTTCTCACCGTAAACAATAGGACATGGAGCGAGAAAGACCGAGACACCCAAGCTCTTCCAAAGAGGGGGCGTGGTCAGACACAGCTCATTTACATATTTAAAGGTACAGACACAGAAACAGCCTGTTCTGAGCAGGGCTGAAATAGAGGGGTTTATAGGCATGATCAAATACAGGATCAGAGTGGATTTAGAACAAGGAACTTCACACACATGTTTTGAGGAGCTTTGAGACGTATTTACACTGGTTGAAGAGGAGGAGGATATGTGACCTTTAAAATTCTGTTACCATGACAACCCTCATATTTATGACTGATGACCTCTTTGGCTTTTATTTTATGTCTTTGCAGGAGACGAGGCAGATGATGGATGAACCTCAGCAAACAGTGAAGGAGGTGAAAACTCAGAAATTGCCACATGAAACAGAAATCTACCAGGAGGAAGCAGCAGAGCTGAGGTAACAATAGACTCATTAACTTTTAAGCCCCGGTGTCCACCTAGTGTTTTCCTGAGTGCCAGCTGCTTATTTTTTGATTCTAGAGAGCATTTGCAGCAGCAGGCGGTTCTCCAGAGAAATTACGCAGCGTCTTTTTGTGCAGTCGCTCCAACCGTTTTTAAAAAGGCACTGTTGACGTCACCGGCGCTCTTCACATGTATGACACTCCCTGTGTTTTCTCCTACTGATCGTGCCCTGTACCCACATCCTCCTCGCTCCGTGTCCAGAAAAAGTCGGAGGTCAAGCATCCTCCTAAAAAGGTGGCATGCACCCTAGTAACAATTAAAGCGTTTATAATGTCCCAAACTACAAAAATCACCTGCTGTGTTCATGTAGTCAGTTTGTGTCCTTTCTTGGAATATAAACTTAATGCTGTCGCCATTAACGCCGTAATTGTGATGCGATTAACGTCCGAAATGTAGGCATTTGTTTTTTATAAATCGCGTGCAACTTTGTCCTCTACCAGCGACTGTGGTTCTCGCAGTGAAGGAAAAAAGTCACCGCAGCAACTTTGACGGGCTCACTTCAGTTCCTTTATCGTGGTTAAGTTAATGTTGCAACTTTTGATCTACCAGAAGTTACTTGTATTCTTTCAAAATAAAAGAATCTTAAAAATACTCTAAAGAGGAAGTAAAGTTCCCTTAACTCAAACAAGAACAAAATACTAAATAAAAGCATCACAGAAAGTGATTTAAAGTGCAAGACAATGGAATTTCAAACGATTAAAAATATGATGAATCATGATTAACTATCAAAATTTTAGCAACTAAAAAAAATAATTAGTTTGCCAGCCCTTGTAATAATTTGTTGCAGACTTCAGCCATGTGAATATGCACCTGACAAAGACTAAATAATAGTTGATTTGTATATTTTTGCTTTTGAAGCTGAAGGTTTTTTCTCTCCTGCAGGTCTGAAAGAGAGCAGCCGGACACGCTGCAGGTCAAGGTAATAAATAAATATTTATTATTATCGCTGTTTGATCATTGGTAGTAACTTTTCCATTATAACTAAATATGAATCTATTGTTTGATCAAAATGTTTCCTCCATCCAGCAGGAAACAGCTGTCTTGGCAGGACACAGTGGAGCAGACGAGCTGGTGGGTCGTCTGGAGGCTGAGAGGAGCCAGCTCCACGGCTCCCTGCAGCGCTGTGTGTACGAGATCCAACAAAGAGACCAGTACTTACTGCAGCTCAACACCAAGGTATCAGACAGATCCGCCTGCGTGCAGCCTTATTGTCTTTGTCTTTGCTGTTTGTGCCGCTGATAGGTTGGCGATTTAGACACAAAGTGAAGCTCTCTCTGAGATGTTTCCACTTCATGTGTGATGTGGGAAGTGTTTGATTATGCAACATGCTATAAACTAACAGAGCTCCTGGTCAGATTACATTTCAGTCCATTAATTATCCACTTTTTCTCCTCGACGAATGAAAGAACTTAAAGAGAACAAACTCTCTTCCCTCTCCTCCCTCCAGCTGCAGCAGTCAATGGAGGAGAAAGGTGCGGTTGCGGCTCAGCTGAGGGCCGTTTCACAAACCCTGAGGGACACCCAGACCCACTGCCACTGGCTGGAAGGCCAAGTCCAAAGCCAGGCTCAGGTAAATGATCCTGAACATGAACATGTCACCCCTTGCTTCTCCCTTCTCCAATTTGGTGAAATGATTTTACCCAAAAAAAACAGTAAATTAAAGTCTGTAATACTGTCTCCCCACCACTAGGGGTCAGTATATGCTGAGGTTGCACCTGGAGCCCCCCAGGAGAAGAGCAACGACTCCATGATGGCTGAAACATCTGAAGCCCATCAACTCCGAGAGAGGTGAGGAGACAAGTTGTGTCTGTTTCTACACAGATGTCTGTAAAGTGTTCTTTAAGTTTGCTTACAAACATTTATCTGTGTGCGTGTGTGTGCGTGTGCGTGTGCGTGTGCGTGTGTGCGTGCGTGTGCGTGTGCGTGTGCGCGTGTGTGTGTGTGTGTTCAGGATGCTTGAGTTGGAGCAGAGTCTGGCAGATGAGAGAGCGCGGAGAGAGACAGCTGAGGAGGCTCTGCGACTCGCTGAGGACAGAGTGAAGAGGTGAGGGCTAAATTTACACACACACACACACACACACATAAATTCAACAGCACAGGAGTCTGAATATGTTTGTCGTTGCAGTGTTGGTTCCAGTCTGTCCAGAGACAGCCAGAGAGACTTCAGTATAGAGATGGAAACAGAAGAGGAGTGGGACGCTCTCAGTCTGAACCCAAACCAGCCGCTCATCACACGGAAGGTAATCACAGACGACACAGGACTCTATTCATAAATCTTAAGTTATATATCATGTCATCACTACCCGTGTAAAAATAGTCCATAAACAAGGAGATTGTTTGTAAGGATGTCCACACTACTTCTTTTAAAACAGGATCTCTGTGTAGATCAGTGGTTCTCAACTCGTCTCGCCTCAGGACCCACCACCAACCCCTCACTGACAAATAGCGACACAAATGTCAGATTAATTTTTTTTAAGATTTATTTTGTGCCTTTAATGGAAAGATAGGACAGTGGATAGAGTCGGAAATCAGGGAAAGAGAGAGAGTGGAGAATGACATGCGGGAAAGGAGCCACAGGTCGAATTTGAACCTGGACTACCCGCTTGGAGGACTACAGCCTCCAAACATGGGACGCGCGCTTTAACCACTGCGCCACCAGAGCCCCAAATTTCTGATATTTTTTAACCAGTCATTTAATAATAAATGGTGCCGTTTGCAGTTTCCGTCAAATGTTTTGCACCACAGACGTTGCACAACATCGAACACAAGCAGGAAACTGAATTAAACAAACGTGTTTGGCACATGCTCACGACCCTCTGAAAAACAGCCCCTGACCCTCCAGTTGAGAACCACTGTTGTAGACGACGGGGTTAACCTCCGTTTCAGAGCCAGTCTCTGTCCACTCTGGACACTCACAACAAACTCAGGGGGAGTTTAAGGTCAGGAAGTCTTTACTTCTTGTTTCTGATCCTGTTTCTGACTCTCTGCTGTCTGTTCTGCAGGTCAAAGGGGGCGTGGTCCTCTGCCGCCGCTGGCTCAGGGGGCGGAGCATGTACTTCTCCAGGCTGCTGACGAGCCGCGCCCGCTCTCGATATTTCTTCCTGGGCTACTTACTCACGATCCACGTGCTCGTCTTCATGTGCCTCACTGGTGCGCTGTAACCAGGTCACGCTGAGAACAGACGCTAAACGTTGAAGGTCGAGATCGGTTCCTATCTGTGACAGAAAACACGGTTAAAAAACTGACACCTACACAGTAACTGGAGAGGCTGCTTTTAAATCTCCGTTCTGACACTACAGCGTTATTTGGAATCCTCCACCAGATTTTATTTATTTTTGTCTTTAATCGTCAGAATGAACTCGTCAGTTAATGCTCACTCGCAGGTTTCTTTCTCTAAATGTTCAATCAAAGCCTTAAAAGCGTGATTCTTTTCCTGCCGTTTCATCGGCATGTTGTCGACGGAGACGAGGGTTTCAGAAAATCCACTTGGAGTCTATGGAGTAGAGAAGAGGAGGAAAGGAAATGAGGATGTCCACTCTTTTATATGAAATCCTAAGAAGGTTCAGAAAGCCATATCTGTTCTTAAACTCGACCGGATGAGTCCAGTTTAGGATCTCATGCTAACGAGGTTCAAACATGCAAACATCTTAAAAATGTTCTGTTACCATAACCAGCGCTGGAGACGCCTCTGACACTGGAGCTGGTTTCTGCACCGATCCAATACCAATAGAGCCAACACACTGGGGCTTTGTATGCCTTCATTTTAGAGATAGGAGGGTGGATAGAAACCTGGGAGGGACAGAAAGGGGAATGACATGCACAATGTCAGGATTCGAACCCGGGCCACCAACTCTAAGGACTTTAGCTTCTGTACATGAGATAGGCGCTTACCGCTAGGCTACCGGTGCCCCAATCCAACACATTTTTAACCCCAGACTAAATCAACTGATTTTGTTCTTTGCTTTCATTGTTCCCTTTATCAGAGAGGACAGCTGAGGGGAGACAGGAAATGTTGGGAAGGATAGAGTCGGGGGTGACATGCAGTTAAGGGTCAAGGTCGATTCGAACCCACAGGCACTGCAACGAGGACTACAGCCCCCGTACATGATAGCTGTACGATCTAATAAAGGCAAAAATGACCCTAAAAAGATTGTTTTTAAGACTTTAAAGTCAGGCAACGCAACAATGAAAGCAACACTTTAGAATTCAAACAGAGTGGGTTATGATGTGTGCACCATGTACGGAGGCAATAGTTCACGGGTTCAAATGTGACCTTGGCTCTTCGCTGCATGCCCCCCCCCCCACTCTCTGCTCCCAGCACTTCCTGTTTCTCTTCATCTGTCCTCTCCAATCAAGGCATAAGATCTTTAAAAAAAAAGTCAGGGTCAGTGAACGCTGTTATACTTCAAGTCTCACACTGGTATCGGATCGGTGGCCCAGAGGGGCGTAAAATGATATTGGAACATTTTCAATCCTCCTCTCATTAAACGATGTCACCAGCTGCTCTTTTTCTCCCCCCGCCCGCCTGGTCTCATACTTTGCACATAATCGCGATGCTGGGTTGAAACTATGCACTGATTCTCTTTAAAACGTGTAAATAATCATCTCATAGAACACTTCTACACCTCTCCCACTCCCTCCTGTTCCCTTTAACTGTAAAGCCAAAGGTGTGTGTGTGTGTGTGTGTGTGTGTGTGTGTGTGTGTGTGTGTGTGTGTGTGTGTGTGTGTGTGTGTGTGTGTGTGTGTGTGTGTGTGTGTGTGTGTGTGTGTGTGTGTGTGTGTGTGTGTGTGTGTGTGTGTGTGTGTGTGTGTGTGTGTGTGTTCTCACCTCGGCTCTCATGCCTGTTTAAACACAGTGAGAGACAACGGCTTCCAAATACCCTTAAATCTTTATTGGTGTGTGTTGGCGTGCAGAAGAGATCAGAGTGTGTTTAAGGGTTCCTGTATTTATTAGTGCATCGATCATGGACTGTATGTTTGTATATACACATTTCTATCCTGTCTGCTTGATGACTGTACATTTCTTTTTGATTGTTTAAAAAATGTGACGGGTAAGAGGCGGGATTGTCACGGTGGCGGGTCAATTAACAGGCCAAAGAAAAGTCGCCTCTTGGCCCGATAATCGATCCATTTGCGTAGAAATCCTCGCTTGTTGATGGTACTCTGTCCTGATGATGTGTACATAAAGGACGACACGATGAACTGAATCTATTTATGAAAAAGATAGACTACTGATGAATTGTTCAGATGGCATATTTTCTCTGCTGCCGCTATTTTTAAGAGCGAGTGACGCCGTCGGCCTTCAGATGACGCGAGGTTGAACTCTGTGCAATACTGTGTCGGTGAAGGGAACCCTTTCAGGTCCTCCTTCAACATCTCCAGAGAATTTAATAAAAAGCTTAACAAACGTTTCCTGCTCTAAATCTTTGTGTGTTTCTTTAAAGAGGACATATTCTCCCCCATCTCCACCTTTTCAAACAGTCCCCTGTGGTCTAAATGAAACATCTGTGTTGTGCTTTGGTCAAAATGTAACATGAATCAAGCAGCAGAGGAGGTTTGTGACCCTGTATAAACCAGCTCTCTCAGAACACTCCGTTTTGGTGTGTGTGTCTCTTTAAATGAAATGAGCCCCCCCGAGTTTTCCCCGTAGACATCACTCCTCTGTAGCGAGAATAAAACTGGTGGACTTGTGCAAAAGTTTTGTTCTAGGCTGGAGGTGGAGTCCGTGGGTGGAGATATCAGAGGAGGGGAGGGGATTTTTTTTTTAACCAGAATCCCACTGTGACATCACAAGGAGAGCACATTTGAAACGGAGCATTTTTCTCTGTGTTGTAAGACTTATTCCGACCACAAACTAAGGACTGGATGGGTTTATTTCACTTTTTGTGGGTCAGTAGACACTCAGGTTACCCAAAATATATGTTCAAAAACACTGTACAAGTGGATTTTTCATAATATGTCCCCTTTAGTATCCTTATCTTTGTTTTATTTAAGCGCTCGGAGCTGCTAACGGATCGATATATATGACCACACGAGAGGAGGAGGCTGAGGCTGGTTATAGGTCCAGCTGAAACATACAGTCAGAGTGGACGACCATGAGTTCAGGAAGATTACAAACCATTGAAATTTTATTACTGGACGAAATTATGTAGGATGTAAAATATAGCAAACATAAAGTCCACATTTAAAGGTCACATATTATCCTCCTCTTCAACCAGTGTAAATGAGTCTCAGAGCTCCTTAAAACATGTCTGTGAAGTTTCTTGTTCTAAATCCACTCTGATCCTGTATTTGATCATGTCTATAAACCCCTCTATTTCAGCCCTGCTCAGAACAGGCGGTTTCTGTGTCTGTACCTTTAAATATGTAAATGAGCTGTGTCTGACCACGCCCCCTCTCTAGAAGGGCTTGGGTGTCTCAGTGCTTTCTCGCTCCATGTCTTATTGTTTACGGTGAGAAGGCAGACTCAGAGGGCAGAACAAACACCTAGCTGTGGGAGTGTCACCCACATGGGGGAGGAGTTACTGCCCTTTGTGATGTCATGAAGGGAAAATCTCCAAACGGCCTGTTTGAGCACACATTTTCTGAAAAGTGGAGCAGGCAGAAGATGGAGAGGATGGACTTTTCTCATCATTGGGGGGTTTGTAGACAGACTAGAGACACTTTAGTTTGAAACATGGAGCCTTACGGGGTTATGTGTACGATTTAAATATATTATTTTGGGACTGTTATTCTCTGGATTTTTAAACATTTTCAAAGTATTTTTTCTGATATTGTGCCTTAAATTTCAGTTTTAATCTTAAAGTATTAATAGGATATAAATTAAGCCTGAGATATATGAGCGACTTTCGTGACCTATATTCAGAGATTTTAGGGGGATTAATAACCTCAGTTAAAAAAAAAAAAGCACAAGAAAGCATCCTGTTTGAATTAGGCCTCAATGCAAAACAATCAGCAGGACATTGTCATCAAAAGGATAGGATGCTTTCACTCTGATTCCTGTCATATAACGGCCTTTGTGTACATGTTGTAATGTGCACATGAGACCACTAGATGGCAGAGTCTTCTCATTAAACACCAGAAACACAAACCTGAAAGACAGAGCTGAGGGGTAAACAACCCAATGTCTGCAGGGTGGTTTGTGAGTATTCTCTGGGGTAACCACGATAGAGAGAGAGAGAGAGAGAGAGAGAGAGAGAGAGAGAGGGGGAGAGAGGTGGGTTCACTGTTTCTAAACCTCAAACATCATCTTTTGTCCGTGGGCTCGTCCCTGCTGCAGCTCCAGAACAGCTGATTTCCTGCCTGTTCGGTCACTTTTAATCCTCATAAATGTTCATATAGAGATTCAGTTTATTGATTATATTTTATATCATATAATGCTTAATGAAAGCTTTTATGTTCTTCAGTCTTTAAGTACTTAAAGGTTTAATATGTAGAATTGAATTACAAATTTTACACTAAAATATCATATCATCACCTCAAATATTTCCAACAGTTATCAAAGTGGGAGAAATCCTTCATTTAAGAGGTGTTAAGGGATATGTTTTGTCGCAGCGGCCGCCATGACAGACACGACATGCGTATTGTTGCCGTGGAAGCACCGTATGTTACGTCAAAGGCCTCTGCATGAGGAAGCGTGAGCTGCTCCTGAAAGCTGCCGTACTGTTGCTGTTTGAGCTGCTGTGATAAAAACGTCATGTAAATTATACTCGGATACATTAGCTCGTCTGTAAACATATTCTCTTCCTTGGCTACGGTCAACTCAAAGTGCAGTTTCATCAGGGGTGTTGGGGGGGAGTAGCACAGAGAATCACTCCCACGATTCCCCGCGAGCCTCAGCGTCATTTTTTGTTATTGTTTTGATTGAGAGCCCCCTGGTGGCAGAATTTATATAATGTGCCTTTAAAGCAACCAAATTAAAATCTATCAATGACAAAGAATTTTCTTCAGTGGCTGAATTAGCTGCTGAGGTTACACCTAGCAGACAGCTAGCATCTCCCACATGTCATGCAAAGAGGCCACGCCCCCTAACTCTACCTCACTTTAAGCTTTAATATAATGTATTGTTGTCATGAAGAGAGAAATGAGCTCAGGAGATCCAAACTGTTTTTGTACCAGACTGTAAACATGTTTATTTATGTTGTAAAGTTGGACATTTTAACATGGGCTCTATGGGGACTGACTCACTGCAGGAGACAGACTCTAGTGGACACTGGAGGAACTGCAGCTGTAAAGTTGGATATTTTAACATGGGGCTCTATGGGGACTGACTCACTGCAGGAGACAGACTCTAGTGGACACTGGAGGAACTGCAGCTGTAAAGTTGGATATTTTAACATGGGGCTCTATGGGGACTGACTCACTGCAGGAGACTGCCTCTGGTGGACACCGGAGGAACTGCAGTTTTTGGACAATTTGCTTTATCTCTCTGCTCCTGAAGTTGCTACTTGGGTGAAACTATCTCTGGTTCACAGTGACAGGGTGTCAGTTTGGTGTGGATACCACCAAACCACTCAAGCCCTAGTTCTGATAAAGGAAGCCATCTTTCTAGGTAACCTTTGTCTTGTTTGCAGCACTCTTTCTCTCGCCTCCTTCTCTCTTTCTGTTTCTTTGTTCTCTCTGAAACAGAGAGAAATCAGTCCTCCAGTTGCCGCTGACCCACTTGCCTCCTGCAGCAGAGGAAGAGAACCGGAGGAGTAGGAGAAAAAAAGGGCGGGGAGGTAGGTAGAGGTGAAAACATGTGGGAGTCTGCAATGATTAATGTGCTTTCAGAGATGGAGAGAGTGAGAGAGGGAGGGAGCAGTGAACGAGGGCAGCAGCGATTGTGGTGGCGGAGCGAGTACAAGTAGGCTTCGGTGAAGGTGCGCTCCACAAATCAATGACCCCATCTTCATCTTAATGCATCAAGCTGAAACACTGGAGCATGTAGGCATATCAGAAGTAATCCTTCAGTAATTATTTCTGCAGCAGGCAGAAGGGGAACTTGAACTTTATCAGAGAGATCATTCTTATCTGACGGGGAAGCAGGAAGGACTTCTTCAGATAAATCAGCAGGGACGAGATGATCAGTCGTAACACTTTGAGCCTCCTGACACCTGAAGGCAGGGCCGTGTCCGGGGATTTCTGGGCCCCATCAGTAGATTTCACACGGGGCCCCTCCACCACAGCCTCAGCCAACCACACCTCCATTACACAACTGACCCACTAAAAGCTTGAACCTCAGAGTCAGTCGGTTCCTCCGTTCATACTTTTCAATCTCATTTTAAACAATAAAACTCCTGCACACTGTCGTCTGCACAAACTGCATAAATACTTTGTGTCACACCCCCAATTTACACAAACTACATGGCTCTGCGGTCCGTCAGTGGCGCACAATATGCCGCCGTTCGCTGCCACACAGTAAATTATTGTGTTTCCACAGCGAGCGCCGCGGTACGTCGCCGGAGAGGGAACTAAATACGCTGTGTGTCTATTTTTGAGGGAGCTTGGTCAATTTCAAAATAACACAATATTCAGACTCCTGATCGTATTTTCCATCACGTTATCAACAAGACGTCAAAACATGCACTGAATGAACAACAAAGCCACCTCAGAAAGACAAAGCAACATGTTGTTTGCACGTTGTTTTCTTTATTCCCGCGTGATCTTGTCAGAAACAGATCCAATGCGTGTGGTGTCCGACGAAGAAAAAACATGGCTCTGATGGACCGCGGCGCGCTCGCAATATGTGGAATTGGGGGTTAGACTGTGACAAATATGAGAGACAAGGAAAACATTCAAAACTTACAAACACTTGTAGATATGAAGAATCTGTAAAGGCGGGTGTGCTGTAAACGCAAAGACAAAGAAACCAAGAAGCAAAGCATGAGGCACACCAGGCTCAGGTGTGTCTCCACTCCTGATTGTCCGATCACCAGGTCTGCAGCACTGGAGACAGAAAGCAAGCACCGTCGATCTGCAGAGTCCCTTTGCATCTTTCAGACAAAAGAGACGCCAGAACGTCAGAGAGTAAGAACAACACGAGCAAGGATGTAGAGAGGAGGAGACAACGTCAGGAAGTCTGAACGGACACACAGGTGCTGACAGGAAGTGACCAGAGGTGCTGACAGGAAGTGACCAGAGGTAGAGCACATCTTCAAATTCCTAAATATCATCATCATGTTTGGTGCATGATCCACGTAACAGCAGGTCAATCAAATTCTGACGTTTTAGGTTTAGAAAAAAAAAGGGGTTTAATCAGTAGTTTAGATGATAAACGTTCATTTAGATACTTCATATGCAACGTCAGTAACTTAACAATACTTCAGTCACGACCAGTTCGTCAAGAAAAAAGACTTTGTTGCACTTGTTTATATTTGGTGGTATGGCTGTGCTCTGGGATCTCCCTGTCCTTCTCGTCAGTTGTAAATCCT